TGAGAGGGTCACGGAAAATCACGGAACGATTTTCGGAACTTCGTGCATTCGCGAAGTCGACTTACCTCGATCGAAGATTGTCAAGGAGAAGGAAACAGACGCCGGAAGCGACTCCGGCGACCAGTAAACTCACGCCAGGCGAGACGATCATATTGTTACCCTCGCCCGGAAGAGACGACAAATCGGTTAACGCGAGAATCGGTGAACACGAAAAATTCTTGATTCAAACGCGACGAGCTGTCACTTTTCGCAACTACGAAGGATCGAACTTCTTCTATTTTGGAGCGGTCCCTTCGGCGACGGGGAGATCTCCCGACGTTACTACAAGTGCGCACTTTGGCCAACTGTCGATCGGACTGCTTCCCGCTCGATACGATTCGCGTAAGTCATTGATACGATCGATAACATCGATCGTCTTTCGACGTGTGGCGCGCGGAGAGCGCGAAAGCGTACCGTCGCGATTAGCGTTGTCGCTAATAAGAGATGAACGTGAATACATTTGACTGTATGTAATTAACTGTACTAACAAATCTGTCGAGGTGTTAGAAGTCCGTCGACGTTCGCGCGATTCTCCATCCTACATTCGGAGGAACCAATGAGAACTGATGCCGATGTCGGTGTGTCTCTGATATTACGATACACGAATACACGTGAACACTATGTAAACAAAACTTTAAGGTCACGCGTAAAGCCCGTATCGGACTAAGTATTAGAGATTGAGAATTGCCGATTGTACAACGGAATTTGACTGATGGCGATATGACCAGGACGAAAAAAGCCAAAATATAAATTAGCAGAGTTATTTTGCATATCTAGAATGCGTATACATGAAATGTGCGGCGGAATATAATAAAAGAAAGATTCTTCAAAACTTGATCGAAGTAAACGACAAAAATTGTATCGACTTACGTTATTTCTTGAGTATCGATAACGATAATGATTTATTTCTGGAAATGAATAACGCTGACAAGTTATGCTCTCAAAATGATTTGAGAAAATACAAATGCGTAATCGTTGCAAAGTAACTGTTACCCAAAAAACTGGTAAACTACTATTATAGCCTTGAAAATATGCCACTTTAAAGCAATTGAATTATATTGTGGGAGTGTGAGCTATTCTTCTCTATTCTTCAAACATATCGCATATTAATTATATTAATTATGATACGCGGCGGTGGGCAAAAAATCAGACCTTAAAAATATAGATTGGAAAAGAGGTACAGTGATTGGCAGGGATACGCTAATTAGCACATCGGTATATTTAAACGCAAAACAGACAAACTACTATCATCGAATGTGCAACTGTTGATGATAAGGGAGAAAGTGATCTATCGAAGAGTAACTGGTTAAATTGCAGTGTTGATTAACTCATTAGATTGCAATAGAGGCCGCCAATATACTAATGTGTGTGGATGATGCATTTATCTAATAAATCGTTTAGCAGCGCAACTTAAATATTGAGTTTTGGTTATTGACTACCTCTAAATTGTGACGTATTACTTTATTCACTGTGACAAGTATACTCATTATGACGCGAGCGAGCCAATTACCGTTTCATTTCATTTTCGTTATTTCAATTCGACATTTTATTTTGAGCGGAATATATTTTATTTTCTCGATATAACTATGTATCTTCGTAGCGTAGAATCTTGACTAATCTTTACAAACAAAAGCGAATTCTACAAGTGTCAGTTTTGTATCGAGAAAGATAGCTTAAAATAGAAATGTATCCTGAAACTATCAATCTTTGTATCTCTTCCTTTGTATTGGTATTTAACTTTTTTTTTTTAACACGTTGACTGCCAACTACGAGATATCTCGTAGGCTGTTTGCTTGCCCAGGACGCCAACTGCGAGTTATCTCGTCGCTTCATTACTTGATTAAATCAAATTGGCTTCTCAGACCAGAATCGTGAAAAGTTCCGTGGCGGTCAACGTGTTAAGTTACGTAGCGTAATGGAAGGTTAACCCTTTCGCGGCGGAGTGCTCTGGAAAGAGTTGCGCTCTAAGCAGCCGATGCCAGATCGACCGCGCGGACCAAATACGCGAGTCGTTCCGAACGCAGTGTGTATATAATATTTGACTATGTAAAAAAAACCTTTGCACAAGAAGCGTATGCTGCTAGCACGTCAAAAACAACTTAATGGACATTAATGGCAGTTGTTGATAACAAACGAACAGCGCCTTCGTACGAAGAGAGCGGCTCCGGATGGGCGCCATCTGGCGCTGTTCGTTCACCGCGGGTAAATTTGCCTGAGCGCCGAACGGCGCTGTTCGCCGCGAAAGGGTTAACGAGCGTATTTTGATCGATCACGATGCGCAGGAAAGAGACTATACGCTCGGCGTGCGTGATTTCAGTTATCACAGTCGTATCTGAACCGATATTTTCTCTTTTACGAAGTCGGTAAACAGACTGTTTTCCAAAAGAAGATAACGTACAATGCCAATTGTTACGCAAGATTTGAAAAAGTGCAAAATGGGCGTCCACAAATACGTGGCACGTGACACTCCACGTTATCGCTTTCAGTGATCGTCTAGCCGCCGCCCGAGACTAGCGGTGCGGTCTTCACGTCGCATTTGATATTGTAAATCGTATTTCATAATCGCTCAGGCGACCGCCTTGCAGCGGACACTACGTAGCGAGCGAGATATCGCTATCTAACGCGGCGGTTTCCGTTAATCGGAGAAAAGGCTGCACTCGGAAAACATCAGCCGCGAGGAACAGTCAACGGCTGCGACGGTGCTGCAAAAATTACTGGTAGATTCGTCTCGTCGTCGTAGATTCAGTCTTCCTGCCGACCATCCTCGCCAGTCTTGTCTTTCCGATTCGATCGAATTAGCGCATTAGAGCGGAATCCGCCCGTTGAAAAAATAAAGAGCAAAGTTTGGAAAAAAAGAAGAATTCAGTCCCGGTGATGGAGAAGATAGAGAGTTTCCGAGAGGAGGAAGCAAACGAGCCTCTCGTGTCTACGTCGAAACCTCGGCAGGTAAGACGAGAAACGCGGGAACTGCAATGAGCGTGATGCGAAGGGAGGTTCGATCGAAAAGATAGATGCGGAAAGATGGATCTTGCGTCACGCTTCTATTTTCTAACGGTGGATGTAGCGAATGCGGACGGCGCGAATAATCGATAGGACGAGAAAGCACTTCTATTTTGTATTTCTTAAATTTGGACGGTCAAGTGAAAGATGGGTCTTCGAGGTTTTACGCGAGGGATGCCGAGACTTTACCATTGAACATAACACAAATCGCTCCTCCGGATCTTCACATGAATAACTCGAAGCGATGACACCGGCTCGTATTACACCAGCTCTTATTTTACGCCACTGCATGGCCCCGACGATCTTGCAGTTTTATCAGTGTTTTTGCAGTCGACAGAAATCTGGGTCGAATACTTTAGAACGTTTATTTACGAATTATGTATCGAAGCTTGCTATATATAAAACGTGTTCACAGTCAACGGTCAAGACTATGCAAGCGCGATAGTAGACCGGTGTCCTTCTTTAACTGACCGCGATAAGCATGTATTCTGACGTATTACATTCATCGTGTTTAAGTTCACACTTTTGAACAGATTATTTTCTACTTGAAAATTCCTCCAAATAAGAAGCTATTCCTGCAAATTTTGGGTCTTATTGCTTTGGAAATATTTGCTTATTGATAGAAATAGTAAGGGGAGGCAGGGAGATGTTTAATTGATTAAAAATAAGGTTTTTTTTCTTGTATTTATACATGCATCAACGTTGTGTACATGTACGTGTGTATACACTAAAAGAAAATATATTTAAAGAATGAAAAATATTTATTCGTGGTGGACACTAGTAATATATTTATTTGAATCCTCCCCTCCTCCAATTCTTTTACTTAAATAGAATAAATAATTGTTTTCACAGAAAGCTATAACTTGAAGAAAATGTTTATTTTCTCATTTGGAGAAAAATTGTTCTTAACGAAAAACATATGAATTGCTTATTAATGTATTTAGTAATTGGATAAGGGTTATCGGGGCTTTACAAAAGTCATATATAATAATAATACTGGGATTCTCAAGGATCGGTTCATTCATGAAAAAGCAGTTGCTTGCGTTCGTTTGGCTAAAGAAATTTCCGGTATGTTTGCTATACACGATAAATAATTTCATCCCACAATCAATATATTAATATTGACAATTATTAATATTTAAATAGCCCTAGGTCAACAACCGTGTTTGCTCTTTACGGCCTTTCTAATTCTTTCCTTAGTAGAACGGAGAAAATATTGCAATAAAAATTATACAAATTTTGTAATGTCGGACCAAACCAAAATTCTAACTGAAATTATGATCGCATGTTGTAATCTTTAGTGACACACTTTATTGTACACATCATGAAAGATTATACATCACTACAGATTACAACACACGTCTTAATTTCAGTCATAATTCCGGTATGATCCAACATTACAAGATTTGCGTGATAATTTTCATTAGAATATCTTCTCCGTGTGTTAAAACAATTTTTTAATCTCTCTTTAATTTTATTAAATCTTTTCATCTATTAAATATTTTTTGTATTTTGTATATTTATTAAACATTTCTTCTCTCAGTATATATATATATATATATATAAGAATTACCGTGAAAGGCACTGACAGGTACTGACCAAGTAAAACGTCTCCGTAATCGACGGCGCAAAAAAGCCGTTGTTATTCCATCACCTCCGTCATTTTTATCGGCAAGGGGCAGATCGTGTGCGTGTACCATTACGGTATAAACGTTACATGTAAGCTGCACATTCGCGGACGAATGGCATTGCGACGGCGCATTCGTCAATGATATCATCTATTGTCGTTGATAGAGGTGCGCGCATGGTCACGTGCAGACGCGTGCACACACACACTGGACGACAATCGCGACGCTCATCTGTGTGCGTAAATATTTTCACGTGTGATTATAAGCGGCGCGGCCAGCGGTGGACGGATAGAGGCGAGTTATTAGATGGGGTAGGATGGACGCTCACGAACCCGCGACACTTAGTTTATGCCGAGCGTTCCGCGAGAACGTGTTATCTCCGTTATCGGAGTGCCGCCGACGAGAATATGACAGGCCAACGCGACTCACGCCGCCTTACTCAGTAAGTCACTGGTGATTTTCAAACGTGGTCAACTACGCCAGGCCGTTTGTTCGCGCCGTTTTCGTGTTCGCGATCGTCCGGCGAAAGGCCACTTTCCGAAGGACAATTTTAATTTATTCCACGACGACGAGGTGACCGGTCGGAGGAGTGCATTTTTATTCGCAGTGGACGCGCTTTCGTCAGTTGCCATTTAACGACGAGGAAACTGACATCCCGCTGTACGATGTGGAAAAAGATTTTTAATTATTTAAAGGATATATAATCTTTCCGTGAAAAAATATTAAAAAAAAATTACCTTTTTCAGAAAAAGGTGAGAAAAGGAGTGGCAAGTGCGCGCGTTCAGCCGTTATTTTTAAATATTTAAAATTAATTATACTAAAACATTGCTTTTGAGAGAAGGTTATTAAACATTAATTCGGGGCTATACCAGTTTAACTTTGTATTCCCTACAAAATTAATGATACCGAGAAGTTTACGCTAAGTGAGAATAATTAATATTTCATTTTCCAATTGTATAAACAAGCTGTTTAGCTGTCTTCCCGTTAAAAAATATTTTGATAATTTAATTACCTTAGTATCAGCTGTTTTTGATTTATCCAGCCTCATGTTCGAGCGTGATGCCTCGTGATCAATAGACATATTCATTAATCTTATCTGTTTCAATCCTTGACCGGTAGTCCTATTCTGCAACTTTTAACGATGTTATCGTCATAATTACTTTGTCACAGCTATAACATACACACACAGTAAAAAAGCTGTGCAACGACAATGTAACAATAACGCCATTGTCGTTAAAAGTTACAGATTACAGAATAGGTCTACAGGATTTTAAACGCAACTCGTGATCGAATTTCGTCGAATGTAATCTTGACTCGATGTGAGATACACCCGCAGAGATATTAGCGTAATGTGAGAGTTTGATTGGTTTTCGAGCGTAAAATCGATCAACTAGCTCTTGTAAAATTAGCCGGAGTCACTACGGTCGAAGGATCGAATCTTTCCGGTGTCAGATTATTAGACGCTCGCTCGATTTACGCGCACACCGTGAAATTTCATGCATCCGTGCACGTTTTTCACGGTCGGGACGGTTCGGGCGACTTAAATCGATTCAAATGTGCGAACGGTTAGTTACCCACGCAAAGAATCCGAGAACGGAATTTCAGGTCGACCCTCGAATCGACTCGCAGTTTTCTCCCTCGCTTGTGCAATGCGACAAGTGCGATGAATGCGCTCGTTAGTAGCGGGGATGTTTACAGAACTTTGATAACATATTCAAGTATCGATAATTCGCCGATGTTCTATGGAATGTTTTCGCGGTCGATACTTGATTTTCGCTCGTGTATCTCTTATCCGTCATTTTTACATCTCGTTTTCTCAAGTATCGGTAGATGTGCATTTGCAGGCAGGAATGACGCATGCATGTACGCGAGATAAGGTCGAACGTTTGTTTGAATTTTAGGGAATAAAGCGGCTCCGGCGAAAGTGGAAGGGACCGTCTTGATTCGACTCTCGTCGCTCGTGTCGGATTTGATCGGTCTGATTGACATTTGTTGCTAATGTTGGTCACAGAATTGGAACAGACGCAGGTGTCGGAAAAAATGGAAAAAAACCCCGGCGATTACGTAAAGACCATCGAGGCGGGCGCGTCACCGACGCAGGTGTGCATCATTCTCTCATTGATCATAAATCTAGATAGCCGGGAGACAATGGAGACCCAGACGAAAGAGTGCGCGCGAATAACCGCGGAAACCGGAAAATTCGCGGAAACGCCGCGGGGTCTTCGCTTCGAGTTGAGACGCGACCACTTGGCGCGAATTGGAAAATTCCTCCTTCATCGTGGTAAAATTTCGACATTCTTATAGCTTTTCACCGTTATATATATTATATATATTCACTTCAGTATAATCATCTGAAACGTGTGACAGTCCTAGATTACCAAGTTCGATCTGAAACGACACCGCTCATGAGCTGGTAGAGTACATCAAACTGAAGAGGAAAGTCCTCTATTGTTTTCGCTTCTTTATTTTGTGACTTTCGCGATAGTTGTTAAAAAATTGAAGGATATCAAATGAGCCCGCGTCGAGGCGATAAGCACGGCTCAGGAAATGTGCTTTGGATCTGTTTACAATCACGTGGAAACGGCAAGTCTAGACGGGTGGCGCGTGATGCTGGATTATCATTATTTTCTTAATGCGTTGACTGCCAAGTACGATTTATCTCTGGTAGCTGGCGTGCAAGAAAAATTCTCTCTGTTCTGCAAATTAATTCGCACAGGTCTCCTTCTTGTGAGAATAAATGTTGATTATGATAAATGTTGCGTTTCGATGAATATTAAATGCAATGGTTTAGCATATTTAGTTTACGCTACTTCTAAAATGACGTCAATGAGAACAAAGTTTCCTAATGCCACTGTGACAGTCAATGTGTTAACTCTCTGGAATTCTACGTGGAAATATTCCCCGCGAAACATTTACCATTTTGCACGTGTTTCAGTAATATACAGGGTGTCCCCGTTCTCGCCACTTGAATTTTACCGAGAGATTCCCTGAACAATTTAGAGTTAATTTCCTCTTAGCGAAAATATCGAGGGAGGTTATTATTTATGACAACTTTTCAGTCTTCAACATATTTTTTTATACAGCCAAGTCTCAAATTAAATCTCTATTAAGTTAATCGAAGAAAATAATTTTGTCGTCTATTTGGTCACTCGAAGCGTAGTTCGAAAAGCTCCACTTTTTCAATCGCTTGTATCTCGGAAACTATTAGTGCCTCGACATTTCCGCTGAAGAAAAACTGACTTGAAATTGCTCAGAGAACCTCTCGGTAAAATTAAAGTCGCGAGAACCAGGACACCCTGTATATATTTATTACACTTTAATTAAAGCCAAAGAAAAGGCTTTTTTACGTTTCTAATTTTAACGCACACTCATTCCTTCACACTTTAATATTTTTTCTGTTTACCGTTTTCCCTTTATATATTCTATATTCTTACATATCTTTGCTTTTTTAATATTTATATATTTACATTTACATTGCTTTTCGTTTAATAAACTTTATACTTTTATCCCACTTTTATTCATATAATTTTCTGTCCTATATGTTATTTTATAATTGCTTATTTATTTATTACACAAATGTATCTCTCTCTCTCTCTCTCTCTCTCTTTCTCTTTTGCCTAAAATATAAAATTAGATCGTACTATCCTATTATTGTAGTATGTAACCCTCTTTATCATATATCCTCTTTATCTCCTCTTTATCACATTATCATTATTATCATTTTCACATTTTTTTATCACAGTTGTACGCCACCTAACGCAAATATTATAATTAAATATACACATACTTTATCTCACAGCCTTAATCTGTTTCGGTAATATTTCGACGCACTCCCGAGTAAACATCAATTAACGATAACATTACAACAATATTATAATTTCCTACTTAACAACACAACTGTTACATTCAACGCATGATATATTACACTTACATTGTTAAATGAGAAATTGTAACATTATTGTAATGTTATCGTTAGTTTGTGTTTACTGAATCGTCATCAACTGTTTGTTTCCATCACCGTCGAAGCATTACGATCTTTTCTCTCGTATGAGATGTGATTGAAAGGATACATTTGTGTAGAATAATTGACTCCTATGTTACATAATAAATAGTAAACATTCACACACTCCAAAACATCGCGTTCGCTAAAGATTAATAACTATAACGAAAATATCAAACGATAGAGAACTTTCCTGTTCATGTTAACGCGCGTTGCACTTGCTCGCGAGCGGCGTCGTGCGAATTATCAGGCACTCTCTGTGTCGAATTTGTTTTTCATATAAATTTTTGTCCTCGCAACATCGCTCGTCCTTGATTAACTCAGAATTAATGCTCCGCGCTCAGGCGTAACGAACCGCTTCCGCGTAACAATGTGGAGAGCAAGGTGTCGATTCATTTCGTGAAGGTTTCGCGGTTTAGGCGATTACGACGCTCGACGTTGTTTGGCGCACGAACATCGTGATCGAAGATCCATGTCGCGGATTGCAGGTGCCGGAGACGAAAATTTACAAGAGGCGATGGCTCGTCCTCATCATCTTCGTGCTGTACAGCGCGAGCAACTCGATGCAGTGGATTCAATACAGTATTATAACGAACATCGTAATGCACTACTACAATGTTACGAGCTTCCTAGTGAACATGACAAGCATGATATATATGATAACGTACATACCACTCATATTTCCCGCTAGTTACCTGCTCGACAAATTCGTAAGTAAAGTTCGTTAATAACAGAACAGAACGGGAACTGAATTATCGTGTGCTATTAGAAGGAATAACATTTCCTTACCACTCGTAGTCGCGGTACTTTATCATTTCGTGTTCACTAACGAAATTAATTAGTTAGCTGCCGCATCTTATCGATTGTGCAAGAACTTGACTGATAATTAATTGATATATCAAATACGGTAAATAAGTGTAATTCAAGATATGTATGTATCTTTTATCTCGTTCAGTTGGCTCTCTAGTGACTTATTATGGTTCAAACGTAATTTGGAAAAATTGCAACTGAATTATAAATTATATTTAAGACAATATACTATATTTTATATATAAAACATAGCTTAAAATATAAAGTATATGACTACTTTTGAAATATAAATTATCCTTTTTCATACGTAACATTTTTTTTTTAATATGACATGGCAATGTCATCGGTTATCGTCACGGCATTCAACATGTTAATGAATCGTGAAAAGATATACGTCATATGTGAATAAAAACATGCGGAAGTGGGATTTTAGGGTCTCAGGTACGCCGTGATCTTCGGAGCGCTCGGGACAGCTCTCGGCTCCTGGATAAAAGTGTTCAGCGTGGCGACCGACCGCTTCTGGATCACGTTCCTTGGTCAAAGTTTGGTGGCGGTCAGCCAAACCTTCATCCTGTCCGTTCCAGCCCGCCTGGCGGCTGTATGGTTCGGGCCCGACCAAGTTAGCAGCGCCTGCAGTATCGGCGTTTTTGGCAATCAGGTAAAATGTCATGTTATTGACCTTTAGCGTGCTACTCGAAGCGAAATTTGTGACATGCAATAATGGGACATGAGTAGACGGACGTGTGTAATCCCGAAATTGAAGAAACGGGACCAAAATGTTGGGAATAAATCAAGAGAATTATCTCGTAAATTTAAAACTTTGCGAAACGATTTCAATATTTCGTGAGGGATTGTTTCGTCATCCAATTTTTGGAATTGTGACTTCTCGAGATAATCGCATCATTTTGATATTTCGGGAAAGTTGTATCTCGAGATTGAGATTGTCCCGATGTTCAATTTTCGGGATTATGAATTCTCGGGATGATATCTTACTTTTCGAATTTCGGCATTTTTTTCGGGAATATGCATGTCCATTCCGGATATAGAAGTACCTGGTTTAAACTGATACTACGAGTTTACGAATTTGGTCGTTGAACGATGCGAAAAACGACAAATATATTTTGAGAATTCAATCACATCACTTTCGAGATTTACTCAAGATGCAAAATACCCGAATCAGATGGCGGTACTTGAGATAACATGGCGCGGAGTATTGAATGTTGAGATAAAATCGCACTGATTGCGCGGATTAAACCGGATCAGAGGCATGCGACAATGTGTCATTGACGGTGTCGAGTAAGTTCCCTTCTGCACGACGAATATTAATTGAATACTTCGCACCTTGCCTTGCTCTTCGGGCCGGTTTGGATGTAAATCGCAGGAGATAATTAGTAACTAATTAATAACTATACCTCCTCGATTATTCTAATGATAACTTCTCAATAATCTTACTGCTGCCGCTCTATCCGTCGGATTTCTACCTCGCTCCGGAATTTTCCTCATTGTCATTACGCAGTACACCTTTTATTTTTCATTTGACGATCGAACGCGTGAACGCGACACCGCCGCTCGTCACTCTCCATCGTCGCGGATACCACTCGACATCTTTTGCGTTTTTCAAACGCACGACATTGGGAAGGTACTCGATCATCACTGCGACCAGACACGTGTCGTTCTCGAGGACGAGAGAACGAGAACGGGCTCCGTGCGAGCGTGCGGGATAACGGAAGTGGTAGTCTGGAGTGTGTGTTCCTCGCCAATCGAGGAAGGGTGCTCGGAGAGATTGAAATTGCGACATGATTAGGTGGGAAACCGAGTCCAAGTGGGCACCCACGATTAATTTTACTACCTATTCGCGGCAGACGATCGTGTCTCGGTCGCGGGGGGGAGTCGGATGGGACGGTTGAGTGAGGAGGAGTAGGAGGAGGCGAGACGGTAGAAACAGGGGGTCCACTGTATCGCGAGAATTGATCCAAGGTGCAGACTGCGATCGTTATCGTTCCGTATCAGCCGTCACGCTCCAGCTTTACTACTGTCCATCTCCGCCTTGATCGGCCGAAAGCTCGGTCGATTTTTCTTCTTTTTTTTTTTCTTTCTTTTTTTCTTTCCACTCATCACACGGCGATACGAAACTCATCTCCTGAAACGCAACGAGGGGAACCTCTTTCGTTGGAATTTCCGGCAGTGGGAATGAGACGTCTTATAAACGGCCATCATTAGTCGCAGGACGTCTAAAGACCATAAATGATAAAAAATAGGCGTCATTATGTCGTCACTCTGCTTGGGAGGCGACCTTTTGAAGCGCACTTCCCTGCTCCGTGTGCGGAAATTGCTTGTTTTGCCAGCTGGAGAGCTGAAATGTGTTCCACTCGGCTGATACGATATCGAGTTTTTGAATATACAGAGGAAATGTGTAAGAATATGTATTACCAACTCGGCTTATTTGACAAACAGGACGACAGCCGTGCATGAAAATATCGCGTCGCGCGTTACGTTCGAGCTGTTACGGCGGGCGTTCTCCTTGTACTTTTTTCTGGCTTCCGGCAATTTCGATTTTTCAGAACAATCGTCCCGCTTTCTGTTGCAGCTGGGCATAGCTATCGGTTTCCTATTCCCGCCGATGTTAGTGCCGAATAACGACAACGTCTGCATCATCGAGAAGGGTCTGCGACTTATGTTCTATATCGTCGCGGCTTTCACGACGGTCGTGCTGATCCTCATATTGATCTGTACGTGTATCATCTATTAATCATTTGTTTTAGTCCTTAGGCAACAAGAGATCTCGAGGAATTAAATTTCGAAAAGTACTTTTCTCCAGGCTCACACGTGGATGATAGAGTGATTGATACTTCGCTCTATCACTCTCGTAATTTTACAAATTGTATTAATCGGGTATTAATTGAGTTGCCGCTGAGCGAAGTGTCTTTTCGTATAAAGTTGAGGAGTAAGATAAAGGAAAACGAAAGAGAAAGAAAGAGAAAAGTAGCTGCAAGTCGCGAGTTGATAGAATATCTTTCATTCAATATCAGTCCTCTCGAGTCGTGTATCCTTCTATCCTTTCGCTTAAAGGAGACTGGTGATTTGTAGTCTTCAAGTCGGAACCACCTTTACCGCCCAGCCCCGCGCAAGCTGTGCAGAAGAGAGAGAACAAAGAGAACGGTGAGAAGTTTTCTCGCTCCATCAAAAGGCTGCTCACCAATGTCGGCTACCTGTTGCTCCTGCTCAGCTATGGCATCAACGTCGGCATATTTTACGCCATAAGTACACTCCTGAATCAAATTGTTCTTCAATACTTCCCGGTGAGCATTTTCCTTGGACGATTGGGAGGCATTCGCTTTTTTGTCAGACGCGAATCCGTGTTTCTTTGGTTCCGATTTTTTTTTTTTTTTCTATCAATCTCGGGCGTCGCAAAAGAGCTGTCAATTCCCCGGAAATTGATAGAATTCTTCATTTTCCGTGACAAGAAGAGAGACGATAAGTTTTTTTCTCTTTCCAGGGACACGAACAAGATGCCGGCCGGATCGGCTTGACTATAGTTTGTGCCGGAATGTTGGGCTCCGTTGTATGCGGAGTTGTGTTGGATAAGACGCATAAATTCAAGTGAGTAATTATAGCTGTTTCATGAAATGACGTCTTTAATAACGTTTCCCGTAATACCGGTTGATCAACTCCGTGTGTTTTCAAATATATTAGTATAATTATCCGCGAGTTAGTATTATATAATTATCTTATCTTGTCTTGCGTATTATACGTAGTGTATGAAATATATATACTGATAGAAAAAAAGTGCTATATTCAAATAAATATTTATTAAAGAGTGATTGAAATAATTATTTTACTTCGGTTAAGTAAATATTATATGCTTGAATGTATACTTGAACATATTAGAAAAATGCTACACATTTAAGTGATATTTACTGAATCCAAATAAAATAATTACTCCGATACTCCTTAGTAAATATTTACTTGAATGTAGCACATTTTCTTTCAGCATGCGATTATATAATATGTACAATTTTATTCGCGCATAATTTTACAGGGAGACAACGATAGGGGTGTACGTATTTTCCTTCCTGGGAATGATAATCTTCACTTTTACGTTGGACAGCGGTGGAATATACGTTATTTACATCACAGCTGGCATCTTGGGGTAAGTTTTTCAGCAACAGCTATTATCTTTGCGGTGTCCAACGCATTATGTAAATTTATACATACCAGTAAATACCAACTAATATTACATCAATATTGCAGTTTCCCAGTTTCAACAATGTAAGTACAATATAACATATAATGTATGTTATATTGCATTTATATACGGGATGTCTCAGATCAACATGCACAAACTTCGAGAGGGCGATAAGCATCAGTATTGAACCTCGAACCTTAAACTTGTCGCTAGGTACAACATATTCCTGTAGATCGGGTCATTTTGAACAAAAAAAAGTCCTGTGCCATTTTGCAAGTAACATGCAAATTTTTCAAAGTTATTATTCAAAGAAGCCTCCGCACATGATCACTTTCAATGATTAATAGCTCGAAATTTTGCGTGTTGTTTGCAAAATGATAGGAGGACTTTTTTCTTCACCTCGATCCGCTCTACGCCCTTATGAAGTTGTTCACGTCGATCTGAGACACCCTGTACATGCATTGTTGACAGTCCAGCCAAGATTGAGAGTGGGAAACGATAACACTGTTGTAATGTTACTGTTAATCGGTGTTTACCGAGGTCGGATACGTTTCGTTGCGCACCCAGTAAACATGATGACATAATAATGACGTTACGTGAACTGAATACGTTCTTAATACGTCATCATATTTGAGCACCCTCGAGCGTGCTTACGGTGACTTCACGGTAACTATCACGATTATCTGTTTGCAGCTTCTTCATGACCGGTTACCTGCCGGTGGGCTTCGAGCTTGCCGCCGAACTCACGTACCCGGAGCCGGAAGGTACCGCGGCGGGCCTGCTGAACGCGGTGGTGCAGTTGTTCGGTATTGCCTTTACGACGCTGTACGGTTACCTGTTCGAAATTTGGGGCGACTTCTGGGCGAACATCGCGCTGTGCGTGACCCTCGCACTCGGTACACTCCTCACGACCATAATCCCTAATAATCTGAGACGCCAGAACGCGAAGGCTTGACGCCCGTCGGCCCCCGAATCGACGTAACCAGTATCGCGGTCCGACCGGAACTTAATTTATTTCTCACGCGACTACGCATCCCGTGCTAGAAGTAGTAGCGTTGTTCTTCCTGATCACGCCGTAAATGTCGCGTATCTACTACAGCAGAGAGGAGGAAACTTCGTCGGTGAACTCGTCCCCCTCTCCCGATCTTTTGTCTGTTGTTGTTAGCTGATCTTCTTAATCTCAGGTAAGCGGTAGTAACTAGGCGGCATTAGGCAGCAACAAGTTAATCCCACAAAAAAAAGAACAGGATACGCCGGGAATAGGCTGGCCCTAACGTGAAGTGAGGATCGCGCGAAGCGCTCGGCAGAAATTCGTCGTGTGTCGTCGTGAGGTCACAAGTTTTTTAAGGCTCCTCATTTCTCACCGCGATCATGACTTGCCTGATCACATTAGACGCGAGAACATACGCGCTCAACGTTCTTGCCAAATGCGTTGAAATTTAAAGATATGCGCCTAAGATGTATAATATTTTTCGGAAACTTTCCTTTTGCTTTCGATAATCAATAAATCAATGTAAAAACGTAAAATTAATGTAACGTGTGTGATCTATTTGTTGACTTTCTAACGTTAATTTAACTTTTGACTGCCCATTATTTATTGATTATTGAAGCGAAGAAAAGGAGTTTTTCGAAATATTTAACGAATTTAGCAAATGGATCGCATAATTTTGTAAATATATTTTTCTATTTAAACGTATTTGTAAAAATCGTAAGAATTTTCTCGCTTCTGACGTCATCAGTCAAGATCGTTCGAAGATCGAGATATCGCGAGGAAATGGAAGCATTCCTTCTTTATGCTTTTCTTCTTTATTTTCTCATCTCAACTGATTGCTTTTATTCCACGCGTGAAAAATAATCTCTCAAACTAAGTAAACAAAAAAAAAGGAAGAAAGCGTAAATTCTTTAACTGGAACTTAAAATTTGCTAAAGTGAACTTTTACATTGTTGTATTATTGACACTTTCGTTGCCTATGTGAAAGAAAAACGATCAGTCGAAGTTTCTGCCGAGAACGTAATATCGAGAAGGCAGAACGATAAACGTAAGAAAATGTGATAAGCGCGAGAAGGAATGACGGAGATCGGAACGATAATGACGGTTCGAGTTGATGAACAGCTATTTATTGACAAATTAATGGCGATAATAAGTAATTACGTTGACGTAATAACTGAAAACGAGCGTCGAAACAAGGACGGATGCGAGCGTCGTCTTCATAGTCGCGCTAATTGTTAACGATAGTTAGTGATAGTTTATTGAGAGTTTATTGATGCCCGTTCTATACTTTCGGGACTATCGAGTGTATTGTTACGATGCGCGACTTGAAGATCGCGAATTATGACTTTATTTTCCTCGTCGTTTGTGTCGAGTTCGATAACTAGTACGATGTGCCTAGTTCGTGCCATTATCGTCGGCCGCCTGATGTTTTACGGTCTAATGACGTTAATTAACGTTGTCGCTCGAGTGAATTGTACACGTTTAAGATAAAAAGTTGCGTGTGACAAATATTTTCCTAATCCGCTTACGTGGCCGAGAAGCGAACGGTTCGTTAGACTTGTGTAGCTATTTGTGAATTAGCCGACAATTAGTCGTAGCGTCCGATTATAGGCCGTAAATTACACACGTTAGTGCAAAGTGTTTCATCCTAAATACGAAGTCGTCGACAACACGTTGCGACGATGAGGATCCAATTGCGAGCGAGTTAAAGTCGGAGCGGAGCTTCGTTCGCAAGCTGCCACGTCGATGTAACTCTCCGCTCTGAAACGCAAGAGCGTGTAAAGCATGAAGAGACCCCCACACCACTAATTTGTGTTAGATACTTATCCTCGTGCGAGTAGCGTTCCGCACGAATTGTTATCGATCGTGTTTCGTGTGTGATACGTGGTTTTATTATATATAATTTTATATCGCGCCGACATATAACTCCGAGGCATCTCCGCTTTCAAGCTAGCGACACAAATAAATCGTCTTCCAACGCGACGTCTCGTCATGATATTTTTTAGGCATTTATCGCTCCCATGAAGATTGTTCTATTTTGTAAATAAAATGTTAAACGATACAGTAATATGAGTTTCTTCCTTTCACCATACACATCAACTTGAAGAACCATGTATATTGACAAATAGGAACAGAAATAGATGATTAAGGATACAAAGATACATAATTAAATATACAAGAATACAAACTGAACTTGACGAATGAACTTACGTACGATTAAATACTGATGCAAAAAAAAACACGTGATAAGGTTTCCCGGGAACTTCAAGTTTCACTTTGTGCTACCGTTTCGACGGCCGATTCGAAAAGCCCGATATTCTTGTAGCAAAGATACGTACAAACGAACACGTAGTTTTACGATATTAATAAATCTTTTATTTATGAAATCATTTATCCTACATTCGCTTAAATATTGCGTTGTCGACAACTGGGTGTATGCGCGGTGTGCGACGAAATGATAAGGGGTTCTTATTTTACATCGATCCGGACGAGGTAACATGAACTGTAACATACTTTTTACACATTCGTCTCGAACAGTTTCAATGTTGCGGCGGATATAAAAAGTGTTTGACGATTCGAACACGAAGTTGCGGATAACAAGAACTCCGTCTGCTACTCGATGAGTTTCTTCATCCTGAAGTAACGTCGGAAGTAAAAGAGCTGCCACGTGGACAAGCCGAAGAGAACGCATATCGAGAATAGGCTGAAGTACAGCACTCGAGTGTTCGTGGCCTCTGAAACAGAAGAACGCGTTCGTTACTCGTCGCATCGTCGAGCGTGGCGTACTGAGCATTTCGGAAACACGGGAGATCGTTTAGTTCTCAATCACTTGTGCGATCAAAAGTTCGCAGAAAAACCTCTCCTCTCTCTCTCTCTTGAAACTCGACTGTTTGCGATTAAGAAAGGAAAAAACACAGTAACTTTGCAACCTCCCGCATTTGTATTTACTGACGTCCTCTCACTCTACTTTTTTTTTGCGACGTACCGTTTGTGTCCCTCATTTCTTCCTCATTCTTGCGCATTCTGGCGAAATCTTGCACTATCGCCTCGGACAAGTCCTCCAACCGTTTCAATTCCACTTCCACTGGTTTCAGCTTGGCTGCCTCGCCAATCTACGAATTAAACAGACAATGATGATTCTCAAAATCTGTCGGTGACCAATGGGGGCGATATCTTGTTAGTATCGCAATCGACGGACATCAAACGATATCGAGCACATCTATTGCTGAGCAAAACTAAAGCGTAATGAGTGCTTCCTCTGCGTATATTTTGTGTATTTTGTACAGAGAGCAGAACGAAATATTATTGAAGGACATATGATACATAAGTTATGATCGTGGGGAATAAATAACTTTTGAAAGGTCAAATTGTGTAATCACGATATTTACGCGGATGATGACGAGTTGTTTCTAACGGCTCTGCATTAACGGAACACAAAAACGACGAAAACATGCAAACAAATTAACGAAACTGTGCTACGCTCTAACAACTCGAGTATACAATTTAACACTACGACTGGCTGATGTGTCGTATAGTGCCAGTTCGGTGACAAAACTCATGCCAGTGAGAACACAATATTGAGAACTCTACTTTACCAACTGCGCCGCGGAAACAAGCCACATATAAAAAGAAAGTAGATAAAATAACGTCAGAAGGTTTCTCACATGTAACCGGGCAAGTATAAGGTTTATAAGAAATATGATATCATTTCTTACAATATATGATTAGATGAACTTACGCCTTCGTAACTCTTAGCTTCGATCCCGCGTTTTGTGATTAGCATGACTTCTTGTCTGACACCTCGTTGGTCTGGAACAATATCTAACATTAATCTGGTTAGGATGACTTTTCAACATTTATGTATGCATATTATATATTTATCATCTTACTAATACTTTTGTACATGCTGTATGTATATAAGTCTCTGTATATATGTAGCTGTTGTGAACCAATTAAATTATATATATATATATATATACTTCACAAGAGTAATCTATAATAATAATTACAAATAGTTAAATTAAAAATATCAATATACATACGATTTGGAACATGCGAAACAAAGCATATTTCAAAAGTGTCATAAGTTTCGGTGACGAAAGAAAACTTTAATAACTTTCCATGGGGAATATCTTCCTTCTGAGATAACGTATGTCCTTTGGAATCTTGAATCTGAAAATAATAAAAATGTCGATTTCAAATCCATACTCATTATAGATATATACTATTTAACAATTACAGTTTACTGCTGAAATAAAAAAATCCAATAATTTATCTTCTTCAACTACTTTCTGTACTATTTTATAAAAATTCTCCTCTTTCTTGCCTCTCTATTATCTAGATATATATACTTATTTAACTGAGAAGAAAAAATATGGTAAGCTTAACATAAGGTCCGTTTCTCTCTCACTTCAGTCACATTTCTCCGCATTCTATTTCTTCTCTCTTATTAGATCCCAAAGCTTGAATTTTATTTCACACTTCTACTTTATTTTCAATATAAAAAGAGCGGGGAAAGCGGCCAAAACAAACGAACTTACAGAGAGGAGTCAAAAAGAACAGAATCAGGAGCGCGAGGTTAGTCGCTTTACTGTCAGATTAATTTCGGCGTAGGATAAACGATCTGTGGCAAACCAAGATCTTACTTACTACGTAATCTGTCTTCTGACCTAGTGCCTCGGATACTTCATACTCGCCTGTGACGAGTACGTTCGCATGCACCTCCTCCTTCAGACACTTGTGACTGTTTGGCTCCAGGTAAAACATTATGCCTTGTGCCTGAACGATCAGGGAAATCGCCAGGAAGGTCCTAACGCCAACGCGACTCATCCTGATGGTCGTTAATGACGATCCACGACGATCGTTCTAAAAGTAAGGATTTAACGTATCACCCACCCAGCGCAGTTAAAGAACATCCGTCATCAACATGCCGCGATGAGGTGGCAGCCATTGGCCATATTGATAATGTTCCGAGAGTCCGTCCTTATTTCAATAGATGGCCCTAGTTGAATCAATGAATCGATGTTCGCGTTTTAGATATATCAAGAGTCGATTAGTCGATTCCTTGACGAAAAGTAGAATCGAATATCGACTCGTTGATATCGACTATCGTAGTATAAGTCTAACCAGTGCGAGTTCTAGTTGGCTACTACTTTTCTGTCAAGGTGTTAATTTTCCCCTTGGCGTGTGTGTATGTGATGCGCCCGAAGTTAATTTAGGGTTCAGCTTGTTTACACGCACAATTCTAATATGTATTTCTGTTACTTCAAGGAAAGTGTCATTGAAGTTGCTTGTAATTCTTCGTTTTGTCGGTTTCACTGCAGATGTACGCATTGATCGATCTTGGAAATACACAATTGTATTTCCAATATCAGTATTGATAATCCAGTGACAAGAATAAGGTTGGTGAAAGATTGATTCTCAAATCCATAAATTTTTTATAAACACCGAAAAGTAGAATTATTGGTAAGTGTAATGTGCATTAGTAAATGTTAACAAAATGTACGAATAGAATTCTACTCTTGAAAAGTACTCTTCTGTAAACATGTATATATATATAATAAAATGTGCAATTGTATGTCATTTTAAAAAACACAATGAACTTGTCAGTATATTCACAATACACTGTATCTCTTTGTAGAATTTGCAACTTTAACAAATTTGGTGAAGAACTCAAGGGATTTTTATATTCGTCTCAGCAGTAACTGATTAATCATATAAAACATGGCACATTACAAAGGAGCAGCCAGTGAGGCTGGCCGGGCCATGCAGCTGATGAAGAAGAGGGAAATCGCGCAGCAAGAGATAGAGCTGCGTAAAAAGAAAATTGAAGATGACTTGAAGATCCATAACATAGAGAATAAGTTTGCGACTCATTACAATGCTGTTGAACAACAACTGAAGACTTCCACGATTGGTTTAGTTACATTGAATGAAATGAAGGCTAAACAAGAGAATATAGTGAAAGAACGCGAGAGGAAGCTTGCTCAGAAGGAACGAGAAAAGGAACAGGAAAAGGAAAGGGCACTAGCAGCTAAACAAGCAGAAAAGAACAAACAGAAACGGCAGATCCAAGCTTTGTCTTTTAATTTGGACGAGGATGAGGAGGAGGAGGAGGAGGCTGAAAGTTCCAACGATGAGGTCACGGAAGTATCTACAGAGTCCAAAAATGAGCAACTGAGTAAACATATAATAAAAAAAATCAAGAAAAATCCGGATGTGGATACAAGTTTTTTGCCGGACAGGGAAAGGGAAGAGGAAGAAAACAGACTTAGGGAAGAACTGAGGCAAGAATGGGCAAGGAAGCAGAACGCGTTGAAGGAAGAGGAAATTGAAATTACATTCAGCTACTGGGATGGATCTGGCCATCGCCGAAGTGTTATAATGAAGAAGGGTAAATATTTTAATGTATCATGCATGCATGTATGTATGCAATTATTGAAACCTTACGTTGTTAGACTGAAAATATCATAATGTTTATAAGAATCGATTCATGTTGCTGTTGAAATATCGATACGTGTAATTAATTCCATCGTATAAATTTACTGTATGATCATGTTCTCACTTTTCTCTGATGTGCAGGTAATTCTATTTACCAACTTCTTCAGAGATGTTTAGAAGTTCTGAGACGTGAATTTAGCGAACTTAAAACAGTGATGGCGGATCAGTTGATGTATGTTAAAGAGGATCTTATATTGCCGCATCACTATACATTTTACGATTTTATCGTAACCAAGGTGATGAGAATAACAATACCCGTTTACTCTAAATATGTGCGGTGCTTAAGTTACATAATAAATATAATTATATTCTCTCAGGCACGAGGAAAGAGCGGACCTTTATTTACATTCGATGTTCACGATGACATCCGAGTTATGCACGACGCTTCCGTTGAAACCGAGGAATCGCATGCAGGAAAAGTTTTACTTAGGTATTTGTTACTTAAAGAGTTTGCATTGCATTCCTACAGATTTTTATTATTTTCTATCACACAGCTCTTTTTCACATCTTCAGATCTTGGTACGAGAGAAATAAACATATCTTCCCAGCGAGCAGATGGGAACCCTTCGATCCAACGAAGAGTTACGACAAATATACGGTATCGGATAAAAACCGGAAGAAAGATAAAATCTGATAAACGCGAATCGTCCGGCCCAAGGGTAAGAATAATAGTTTGATCATATTATTTCATATTTGAGAACCGAGCTCCGAGCAACTACTGTAAAATATCAGTTTCACGACGGTGTCGGTAAATACTCTGGTTTCGGCGCGCGAATGACATTTGTAATATATGCGTGTATATACATACTAGTATACCAGCGCGTGTTGTAATTATTCTGTGATTTTAATGTAATTCGTTTACTCAATTACACGGTCACTTATAAGATACCGAAAGAAAGATTGGAAGTTTAACGAAAAAAACGACTTAGATATTTTAATGACTTCGCATCCGACGATCTTAAAATAATGACAATACACAAGTTTACTTTCGTTATCCCGATTTATTAAACGATCGTCGAACACGTTATCAAGTCGAATTAACACGTCGATCGAGTTACTTTCTATGATAGATATCGTGGAAGAGCGTACTCGCATGCTGATTGTGTCTAAGTCTTGAAGATGTAACTGTACAAAATGAATAAATACTGATAACACGTAGTCACGTGTTCGTAGGCTTAATGCAGACGGGATCCATGTAGGTGATATTTTCTGGAAAATGATCCATTATAATGAATCTCTTCTCGGTCGATTTGTTCAGACTCTCGAGAAATCCAAACCAATAGATCACCAGACCTGAGCCGAACCTGTTCCAGTAGCTCAAGAACTGTTCCTTCATGTACTTCTGATGAACTTCCGCGTTACCAAATCGTGCCTTAGACTCGATCCAGTTGATTAAACAACCGTTCACCGCAATTGGCACTTCTAATTTGATGTCCGGAGTCTTGTCGTATCCCCGCAATCGCAAGTGCTCCTCGTTACGAAACGCGATATTCCTTTCTATCAGACTATTCTCGAGCTTGATTTCGTATTCCTGTCCTATACACATTCCCATTGCATTAGCTATAGGTCCGTACAGATCATCGTACAACAAACACTGTAAAATGTAAAAATTCATCTATGATGTTCTCTAAATTTCTATTCTTTCAATATATTTACTTGACACTTCTTATTTTATTTGGATATTCATGAATTAAGTATATTAAATTGTATTTACTAATTAATAAAGGTACATTTCAATTTTCTTTTTTTTTTTTTTAAACAAATGCATTATTGTTAAATTTGTCTACCAAATAAACTTTATTTTAATAAAAACTTAATATCGCAAGTTTAACTACAATATATACTCTCAAAAAGTGGGCAAATCTAACAAGTGACAAAACAAGGTACAAGTATGAAAACAATCTGTCAAGAAATCTATAATTAACATAAAATATGTAATTTAAATGGGGGCCCATATATAATATCAAATCACAATTACCAGATAAATTTCATATGCGAGATCCTTGTCACTAATTAATGTAGTATCCTTAAACAACTTGGTAATTAAATTTTTGGAAGCTGAAATCATTTTATATAATTATAACATTTCTTAATAATTTCCTAATAAAAATTTTTCAATTATATTATTTTGCTTTAACTATATATTATTCAAAATTGGTTATACCGTTTGCATTGTCGAACATGCAGTACCTTTCCAGGACATTGCGCGCTAATAAGGCAGGTGAAGCATCGATATCTTTGGCCATTCTCAATAAAATACCTGTTGGTTCCCTATTATTTACTGCTTCTAAATAACTATAAGGATATTATTATAATGATGCGAAAATAGTCATTTAAATATGAAATTACATATATTTTATTCTCAAATATTATATTTCTATCTGGATATTTGAACGTTTCATGATTTGAATAAAACCAATTTACCTGTCATAATAACTTTTGTTGTTTCCAAATAATTTGACATGGTTAACTTTCATTTTTTGTTGTATTTCCAAAGATAAGATGCTGTACAATGTATTTACAGGGGTACTGGAAGAGAAAAAGGCTCAATTTTTTATATCAATTTATTTTAATATCTACTAATGCATAGGAAATTAAACAAATTGTTTAACCTTGTTTAGTATTCATACTTTTTATTGTATTTTAGTAAAAGAGAAATTCTTACTTGTTATACTTTTCCTTCAGTATTTTGGCACAATCTTTCGATAGACCTCGAAAATTGCGAATTGTCGTTATTATTTCATTGTATTTTTCAGTCTTCATGGTTTACAACGATTATCACACTCGTTCAAGCGTCAAGTCGATAAAATACGGTACAATAGCCTTAAGTCAGATCTCGATCGTTAGGTGGCGGTAGTGATGCGAGATCGTGAAAAAGAAGTCGCGGCAGCACTTGGAACAAATTTTGATTGCGTTCCATTTGGCAATCGTGTTATACATATTGTTTCAAACAATGCATTTTCTTATATTTATAGAAAAAATATTGTCTAACAGCAGTAGTATCATATTTTATGATTTCTTATTATAAATATTTTATATATACAAAGTTTTCTCTACAGTTTTCATGGTAAAATCACTTTTCCAAAATTTTACTATCGATAATATAAATTAATTACTCGTTTATATAAATGTTGTTCTGTACTATATGGATAGATAATTTGCATAGGAAAAAAGTAGAAACACTATAAATAAACAAAAAACGTTTTGTTAATAAAAAATGTAATACAAAATATAAATGTAACATTGTGTCGCACCTGCGACAGTCAACGTAATCTAGAGGTATCGCATTGCCGTCGCTCGTAATTTGCCACACCCACATTTGCAACCATCTCAACAGCAGGGATCCTAGGGACTTCTGTCCTAGGGACTTTTTATCGCGATCATTCGCAATTCGTCTCTTATTCGCAACCGTTTCAAACATGAGCAGCTTTGGTGTCAGGTGGTAGGCAAGCCTTTCGGCAGCATTTTCTAGAATCTTCCCCTCTCTCTCTTCGCTCTCGACGGGACTGGTTCGCGTCGTTTCTTTTTTCGTCGTGCAACAAAACCCGAGCAAGTTGCAGCAACGGCGAGAACAGAGTGTAGAAGAGAAAGCGAGCTGACGCAACCAACGTTACATACTGTCACACAACGTAACGAGGAACTCTCAGGGCGAAAAGATGCCGGCGATACTGGTTGGGCCGCCTCAGCGTAACGAACAAATGTGGCAGGCGTTGAAGACGCACATCACGAGAGAACGACAACGAAAGAAACAAGGTATGCGACGTGACGTTGCAGTTCCTCATGGTTGCGTCTTATTTTCCTCCTTGTCTCCTCACCCTGCTCTGTCTCTCTCCCCCTTTCTCTTTGTCCCTCTCTTTTTCTACCTACGATTCTGTATGGCACTGTTCTGGGACATGTGATAAATAATATCCCCTCTCTCTCTGCTTGCCTGGTTGTTCCTCTCTAAATCCCGAATATCAAGTTTATCAGAACATTTTAATTAACACCTTATGTATCACTGCATTCTAGAACAAGAGGCAGACGCGGAGGAGGAGCGCTTACGCAAGGAAAGAGAACGTCAGCAGAAGCAGGATGTGATGACCTTAGGCGAGACTCGGGAACAAATCTCAAACTTGGAGAACGAACTTATCGAATTGAAGGACGAGAAGCATCAGCTGTTCCTGCAGTTGAAAAAAGTCCTTCTGAACGAGGACGAATATAGGAGGCGACAACTCGTGAAAGAGACCAGGTTCCAGATTCTAGAAAGATACGATCCAGACAACATAACGTCCAAAACCGGGACATGAGATGTTTTTGAGATATCTGTCCAACATCTTACTGACAAACGTCTTTAAGATGTCGAGTATCCCGCCTTTGGACGCAATGTCGCCTGGAAACGTTCGAAATTAAGAAGGTCGACACATCGAGATCTTCATTTCCAGTGTCTGCTCGGAAGTTTTGACGACGGTGGGAGGATATCAGACAGCGGGCCCACGAGTAGTGCATTCCCCGCTGTTTTTGCCGTTGCCACGCAGCAGCAGTCCTCTCTACAAGGTGGCGGTCAGCGCACCGACGCATCTCCTACCAGGTGTAAGTTTTACCGCGTCATTCGTGCACATGCGATTTCACCCGCATGGATCTCGCATCTCCGTTAAGCAAAAGATGCTCGAACTTTCTGTGTTATTTCAAGGGATCGTTGAAAAGACCGCACAGTCCATCGCCACCACCTGCCGCCTCTCCTTATCACAGCGCGTACGGCTACAAACCACCACCGTCTATTCCGAATTACAATCCTCCGCCTCCTAGTGAGTATACAACATTGCTCAGTATTCTGATAAGCGAACAAGTGTATCAATTCTGTATTCATATCGGTGACTGAAAAAATTTGTTACCTTTTAAATCCTCCGTTAACACTTTTTATTGCCTTTTTTTAAAATTTTGAATACCATGTTAGGGGGGAAATGATTGAACTTATTTTCTTGTCTACGGATGTGTAAAACTTCCGATTCAGCTTAACGGAGAGCAAAGAAATGAAAGTAGAATCAAATAGGAGATAAACCAAGTAGTCTGTTCCCATCTCTCACGTTAGACTCAGTAAAACATGATGACGTATGTCAATGATGTTCACCGGGGAGTATGTTTAAAGCTGATGAAATATTCATGAATTGCAATCTGACTGTCAATTTACGTTCCACAATGTTCGATATTTTTTAGATATTTTTCGAAGCAAAATAACAGGTAATAAAGTGTTAACCCTCGCGAAACGGTGCTTGGCTCGGGTTGCCAGGCATCGTCAGTATCGCGCGGGGGTTAATGATGTCCGTAGCGCCATTTTTGGCGTAACGCTCAAGTTGTAAAGTTGAAGGTGTATAGCAAGTGGTACAGCAAGTATTTTATCGCGCTTGCTCCCATACAGAACCCGAAGACGCTGCTAGGAGATCCGGCGATTCTCGAGCTGTCCTCTGGAACAGTGAGTGAAGAAATATTATCCTACCGTGCTTGTGCCTCTCTCTTTGCTCTTCCTTCGTGAAGGGATTAAATTCGAGATCGCTTGCCGCGTTCTTCCACGTTCAGCCTGTATATTAAGCGTCACCCATTTGATGTACTCTCTTCTTCATTCGACAGAAAGCAATCAGTACTCCGCATCGAACTTTTATTCGACGCCCACAGGCCAAAGTGTTTACAGCTATTCGGCACCAGCGACGCAGCCGTCCCGAGAACCCTCGGAACCAGCTAAGCCTGTTTACCTTTCAGGGGCTAGAGCGCCAATGGCCACACATCAAACCGGTAATTACATCTGTCTCATTACTCAAACATCAACGTTGCCGTTACGGGTTGCAATTTTGATGAGTCTTGAATATGTCGTTGTAACGGCAGTTCCAAACAATGGCCGGGATAATCTTTGTAAAAATAATATCAAAGACTAAAGAATATAATAAAATTCTGTGCTCAAAGAGAGTCGCACATTGCAGCATATGTAACGAATCTGCACCCGATGGAGCACAAGGGAGCCTACGGCGAGGACAAATTTTACCTACGACCAACCAATCACGTCACCGTTCACGGTGGTGCTATTCCGATCCAGCAACCGCCTCAGGTCATCTGCAAACTCCACTATTGACTTTCCCGCTTTCTTAACGGGATGTGCGAGGAAGTAACAAAATCATCGGTAAAAACTGAACCGGTTAGGAGTGTGTTCCACGAAGCGAGCGGGAAAGGCTTTACCGAGCAACGGAATTCGATAACTCAACCTTGTTCGCACAACCCGCACAATATTTTCACATCATCGGTGTACGTTCGCATGTGTTCCAATGTTGACGTTTTTATTGAAAAAAAACTTACAGGGCGCAAAAACCGGTGGGATTACCTCGGGTTACCCCGTGCGAGCGCCTCAACCGCCGCCCGGTCCTTACCCGCCACTACCGCCGCCACCTCCTGGGACTTACGTCAGTGGTTCGGGTGCCAATGTGCCTGGCAGACTACTGTACACGCAACCGGGAACTCGATATCTTCAACGGGAGGTATAAGACCGCGTTCTTAATTGACTTCAGGAATTGGACTTGAGCTTTAAAAATTTCACCAAACAATACACAGCACGTTCCACCACCATCGGTTTATTTGAGAGAGACCTTTCTATAACCCGTCCGGTATTTTTTTCAAACGATAATGTAGAACAAACCCGGTTTGTCTGTGTGGACGTAGAGAAAAAGAATCATCGCTGTCACACATGTGTGACCCTGCGCCCTTATTTCGTAACTTCTAACGTACGTTACGGACGTAACGCGTGCGTTACAATTCTTTGCGCGAACAAGACGTATCGCGGAAACAAGCTGCGCAACGATAACGTTAACGGTAACGAAATTCGTTACGAGTTACAGAATAAAGGGGGCTGGTAGCGAACGTGGTAATTTTGTCGTGTACTCGGTAAATGCATGAACACAAATTTCTTAATATATTTTATGTACGAATATTTATTTCTATGTAGAAAAAAATATTTGCTCCACGAGGTGAGGGAATAAAGTTTAAAACAATAATCATTTCTTTTCTCACATACATGATAACGCTCCTTGAGTGCTCACAGTGAATCTTTCTTGGTAACATGATAATTGAACACGAGCTCAGTATTTGGCATAGGAGACAGCGCACTGATCTGCTATGATATAGAGGAGGTCCCGGCTTCGCCTCTCGATAAAACCAAAATATTTTCACACGCTCGTGTCTCCTCTCAGACGGACTTGGCAAACCACCGAGAGTATCTTTTTCTCCACGGAAACCTCATTCAAATTGCCGTTAAACTTGTAGGTCCCGTATACTTGTGTATAATCTGAGTACGCACAAGTGGTATGCGAGAAGGAAGTGTAGGCGCAAGCCCTACCAAGGGCTGTTGCGGCAAAAGGAAGGAAGTATAATAATTAATTGCGATAAATGAAGCTATACTTATTATATTTATTTATCACAGTCTTCTAAGTTTCGTACATGTACATAATACTGCTGCATTACGTAGATGAACTGGAATATTTTAGCTTCAACAGAAACTTTAAACACTTCTTACTCTTTGTACTACTGTTATAGAATAAGAAGCTCAACGAAAAAGAATAAAAATGGAAGGAATGTAACAGTTTCAACGGGTGAATTATGTTCCACCTAAAAAACACCTGCGTATCCTTCAAGAATGGCGGCTCATCGATCAAAAAAAAGATTGCTCTCGACAGGTCCTCTCTTTCTTTTCAACAGTAAACAAAATATTACAAGTTATGGAGAAAGGAAAAGTAAGCATAAGAAAATAAGTTTACTTAAATCCTTGAAACGCACATTTTCGTGTCCGAAAATTTCAACTCACAGAGATATCAAAAAAAAAATCACAATCATGTAATTGTCAGGTGATCAGGTGATTATGGCACATAATCATGCTGATTATGATACGTATCTCAATGTAGGACAAGTTTATCGGTAAAGTTCTTCCCACCGATCACGGTATTACAATCTCATGTTTTTCAAAAGGCTTTGCAGATCTTCCCCATATTGAGTAGTCGTATCTGCCATTCGTTGCTTCGCTTTATGTTGTTCTGAGCACAGGTGAGAACGAAGATTTACAATTCCCCGTATCTCTATTGAACATAATTTACAAACCACTGGCCCGATAGTTACTTCACGTGGATCCCTGCGAACAAGACGAGTATAAAGTGTTAATCGTGTATTCGTAAAATTTTTCACCGTGTCGATCGATCCGACTATTCGATACACGAGAGAAAAATTTGAACATTTTCCCATTTAATACTTCGTAGCAGAAGCGTCCTAATGAATATCGACATTTACATCTACATCGATCGACCGGGAGCGGCGATTTCATTAAGTCGCTGATCTAGTGATAACGACACGCTTTTGCTTACTCGTGAGCTAAGGCGTCCATCTCCAAGAGATTCTTAATCAAGCCTTCGAGTTCGGGGTTTGGTTCGTTCAAGTCCAACGCCTTGTGCAGGCTGTACACGCAGTTCCTCCTGCTGGTACCCCGGGCGGGCTCGAGGAACATGGTCTCGTCGTAGAGATTCCACTTGTGAAAATTAGTGGTCAGGATCGGCACCTGCGCCTGCCGTGGCTTGTATATCACCTCGGTGAACGCGCTCTTGACGTGATTCTGGCAGTTTACGATCAGCTCGTTCCGCTCGTCCTCGTTGATGCCGTCGACGGAGTGCATCGCGATGTTCATCCAATGGCGTAGTTTGTTAATCTGTCGACACACCCGCCGAGCATTCTTCGTGAGCGTTGCTATAAAAAAAAAGAACCGAACACGAGACCGGAACATTTCGGGGGCTATTTGTATACGTACCGTTCGCAGATCGTTCATCGTGATCTCGACGTCGAATACGTTCTCCAGATCGTGCTCGGATAAGAGATTCAGCCCCGTGACGTGGTCGTATCCTAGGCCGCACAGAGCACCGGTGTAACGTACGCCCAGGGGATCACGTCTCATCTCTATGTACGGTGTGAACATTAATATGATGAGGGACGCGAAGCCGGGCGTGTCAGGCAAGAGAGTCGTGTTCTGCAGGATCAAGCGCTGCGCGTTCTTGACGCACTGGTGAATATTCTGCGCCACCAGGAAGAGTCCCTTGGAATTGTCCGGATAGGTGTTGAGCAGGACGGAATTCACCGATATCGCCTCCACGTTCACGATCTTCATCGTGCCCGAGTTTGTCAGGTGCTCCAGCTGAACTTCCAACGGCGACCACGGGCCGTGCAGCGTCACCTTCGACCGGCACTCAAAATACTTCGGTACCTCGGGATACGGCTTCCTCTCGTACTTCTTGATCGTCCAGTCCGTCGAAGACTTGTGCTCAAATATCTCCGTAAACCCGAGCATGGCCGCCCGTTCGGAAGCCTCCTTCTCGCTGAGCAAGTCTATCTTGATCGGCACACGGCACTGCCTCATCTTGATGGCGTTCCGCAGGAAAGTGTGATCGTCGAACGAGCGGCCGTCGTATCTGACGTAAACGCGGCTCGACCCGTCGAAGGACACCGTTATGTCATCGGGATCCCGCAGCTCCATGAAATCTGCGAAGATCTCCTGAATTCTCTTGGCGTACAACATGCCCGGCTGTTCCAACGGCCATCCGCGCAGGAACACGGTTTTCCTCGGGTCATGATTGGACATCGCCCTCTCTACGTCTTTACGGCAATACGCCTTGTCGTATGGGAGCTTGACGAAGTAATTGGGGTAGAGGGCGCCGGCGATGATGACCTTGAGGACGATGTTACGGTTGACGTGGTGACTGTCCCAAGTGCGCTTCTCGGTGCTCATGTACTCCTTGATACCGAACTGCTCCAATTTCCGCGTTATGTCGGTCACCAGGGCGTTGATCTCGCGCAGCGATCTCACCCGCAGACCCTTCTTCCGCGCCCACTCCTTTTCCTCCCGAGGTCTGGTTATACGACGATTCATCTTCTCGTTTCGCCACACCTTGAACGCATTTATACAAGCTATGCAGTCGCTGGCGGAGTTGGCGGCCCACTCGAGCTTCTCGTAATAGGTCGACTCCGACTGGTAGGACCCGATGTTGAACATATTCTTCACGGACATGCTGGCAGCGATGATGATCGCGTCCTGCAACACGTCGAAGACGTGGCCCAGAACGACCAGCTTGGTCATGTGTACGTTTAACGGAAGAGAGGCCATCACACGGCCCAAGGGCGTCACATCCCCGTCGAAGTCACCGGGCATATTCAGCAGCGCGCCGACTTCCTTCAACAGCGAGATAGTGCTTTGCAAGTTGCTGAGGTTCGGCGGGTCCAGCGCGAGAGCGAGCAGTGCCTTCGGCTCGCCCATGTCCAGCATTTTGGCCTTAAGAACGACATTCGCCAATGGAGATCTGATCAGTTCTGGAATGTCGTCGTCGGGCAACGCGTTCTGCAATTTTCGGAATATAATGCCGATTAACATTAATCTTATTCCGCACAAGCTTTATCTTGTGTAAATTAATATTACACTTACTTAATATAAATTAATTTATTGTACTTTTATATTATATCACTTTTACTTTTATATTATCTATAAATTGTCATTTTTAGGTTACTAGATTAGTTAACAGTGGATGGATTTAGTAGATAGATTATTTCAGGAAATATTTGATGAATATCGTTTCTCCGACGATCTATTGTATTACATAATCAATTGTATTACAATGCAATTAGTTTCATGTCTCACTTGATTGCAGCTTTACAAGCAACGACAACTCCACATTCGGATATTCGCGTAAAAACGATACTTGCTTCGTAAAACGATCTCGGTATCATTCGATACACTCTACCATCCATCACACGACCTGCGCGGCCGGCACGTTGCTGACAACTCGATTTGCTTGCCCAGCAGAGCTCTAGACACTGATAATTGGATCTATGTTCGGTGACGAGAAGTTTTGTCAAACAGAAGTCGATTACTGAAAGCAGAAACATTGGAAATCGAGCGTTCACGTCAATTGATTGATGAAAACGGTTTTACCGATAAACAAGTGCATACCGTATTTCACGTCAGGCACAGTGATGCTGCTTTCCGCGATATTGGTCGATAATATAATACGTCGGTGATCATCGGGCAGCTTCTTAAATATATTCTCTTGCTCCTCGGTCGAGATCAACGAGTGTAAAATAATGATATCCCATTTCATGTCCTTGTATTTATTCGATGTAAGCGCTGCACGCATGTCTTCGATCTCATATATTCCTGGTAGAAATACCAATACACCGAGCCTATTGTACCCACCATCCCTGCTGTTGTTCTTTTTGTCTATATGATCGAAAATATGTATAATACGTATACAAAATTCGGTCAAAGCTGAAGTAAGCCCCGGTTCGTTCTTGGATATCTCAGGTATCTGTTCCGGGAAAATAATACAAAATTTTTCATTATTTTTCGATTAAAATAGGGAAAAAACGGGGAAGGAATAATTATATGTTTGTTAGAATCACTTCGACCATGCTTCTTGAGAAGCGTTCATTTACACTTGGAAAATATATACTCACACTGCCGAGGTTCTCCATTTCGTTTAAATAATATATAGAAATATTGTACGGGCTACTCTCTGGTATGTCGATGATGGATGCTGGTACAAGCTTATTTTCAACAGGTGTTGAAAAGTACTCGGAAAACTTATCTAAATCGATCGTTGCCGACATCAATATGACTTTGACCATCATTGAATTTGTGCGTAGCAATTTTCGAACCACGAGCAGAAGGAAATCCATATTCTCGTCGCGTTCATGCACTTCGTCCAGTATAATGTGTGTGTAGTCCAGCATGTGTCTCTTATTAATAAGCTTATGCAGGAGTACACCAGTAGTGCAGTACGTTATGCGAGTGTCCTCGCACACATGCTTGATCAAACCCATTTGGTACCCCACGATAGTACCGACAGGCCAATCTCTTTCCTGGCTAACCCTTTTGGCAATACTCAGCGTGGCGATACGTCTTGGCTGTGTAACTGCAAGATAAAAATTGTCTTCCTTATGTTATATCACAAATACATATCAGTACAAATAAGTTCATTTCTATTCACCTTTTTCAGATATATTCAGAAAATATAAATTAATTGAGACATACCGATTATGTTGCAGTTTCGGTTGTTTTGAAATTCATTATCAAGAATGAGTTGCGGCACTTGGGTGGTTTTGCCGCAACCTGTGGAACCACGTATAATAATGACCGAATTGCTAGATATCATAGATACTATTTTTTCCCTAATGGAAAGAATAGGTAAATTATTCTCGGGCCGATAGGCAAAGTTATATGTTTTATAAATTCTCTGTGGATTCTCATTGCTAGACACTCCGTCCATGGGTTCTGTGACATCGGACATATTGTCCAAACAATTTTTCTTATTGAAGATTATATTTTTCGTCAACTGTAAGAAAAGAGTGAGAAAAAATTAGAATGAGACAATTGTAAGATCTTTGTAACTTTATTGATCATGTGTATTTCCAAATGTGTTGTTACCTTTAAATATTCCTCATCATCTTTCCTCTTATATTCTTTTGCATAATCTATCTCGGATTTCGTTTTTGGTTTCGGTTTATTGAAGATACTTGGTTCTCCATCTGCTCGTTTCCGATCTTTGCATGGCATCGCTATTGTGAAAGGTTTATCTAACTTGTACATATTCAGAATTTGGTCCACCATGTCGCCCATCGTGATAATCGATTGAAATACTCAATATATTGAAAATTTATATATGAAAATTATAATTTTTTAATCACAATGTAACTTTCGCGCGTTTCGAGTTAACCACAATGTCCTAACTTTACCAAAACATACAACGACCACACGCGAAACTACCCTTCCACAGTTTAAACTGCGATTCCGACTCAAAAGCTGGAGAAAGACTGCCCAACGGAAAAATAAAGCCCACGTCGGACGATGCTTGTTTTCTCAATAGATCTGGTGACATACTAAAAATTAACCAATCACAATCAACTTCGTGCTACACCGTACATACACTCGCGACATTTGAAGTGCCGGATGGAAACGCCGCGTTCCGATTGGCGTGTTTCAATCCATTTTCGGAGATGCGCCAATCAGAACGCGGTAATTCCATCCGGCAAGCGATCCAGTACGAAAACAAACACCGTGCGCCGCTGGCTTAATATTGATCACAATACGAAAATATTTATCGTATACGCGGGTATAGGTTAGTACAAATTAAAAATATATATTTATACAATATGCGAACGAGGGGGAAAATAGTTACCAATTTTATCGTAACGAGATTTTATTTTAAGCGCAATATAGAAAACTAAAGGTACAAGGCATTATTGCGAAGTATATAAATAATTCTGATTATGACGTTTACATATTACCTTATGTCAGTAAATTACATATAATTTTGGTGCTGGATATATAATGGTGCGTACGTGCATTTGCTGCAAATACCGTGTGAACAAACTCCAGTCGGACATATCGCTCTACGGGTGAGTACTCTGACGTTCGTGCAAGTGCTTTCATACCTTTACACTATGTGTATAAAATGTACTCCAATTTTCGAAGATTTCCGAAAGACGGCGAGATCTTAGAGAAGTGGTTGTCAGCGATTGGCACGGCGAAGAAAGTCAGCGAATCGACGCGAATATGCTCGCGTCATTTCAAAGAGGTCGACTTCAGGTACAGTTTGGTCGGAGGCAATCGTTTCTTGAAACACGGAGCCGTACCATCTCTTCATTTGAACGAAGAGGCCAAGGATGAACGGTCCTCTGACAGCCAAGAAAGTCAAGTAATAATCTCCGAAGAGGATCGAACGGTGAACAAAATATTGAATATCACGGACTTGCAGACAGGCTTGCAAGTTAGGAATGATAATCGATCACTACATATTATTAAGAGAAAGGAAGAAGCTACTGCAAGGAGTACATGTGAACACATTCGACTTGGGTCTCACAGCGAGCCGCAAGCATCTGAGAGGTAATTAACATGACAGCATATTTCAACAATGCCTCCTTACTGTCAGTGAGTATTAAATGATACATTAGACACACAAGGTAAAGATTAATCTGTTGTAGCAGGTTATCACCTCTGTTACCTGGCCAAAGTGAACAGAAGCGAACGGAGAACAAACGCAAGAAATGCCTGTACGACGTCAGTTGGGAAGAAATCTCCACTTCGCCGGTGCAAGCCAAAATCTATTGGGAAGTGGTGACGGGGAAAATTAACCGGCAGAAGGTCGTTCTGAAGACCTTGCGGCAGAAAGTCAGGAGATTAAAGAAAAGAATCACAAAGTTACAGTCTTTGGTGAAGAGAAAAAAATATGAAAATAAATAAAAGGACACGTTATTGTTACAATCACAGTTTTCTGCATATCTCGCCTGCTCCTTTCCCGTCTGACGGGTTCTTGGTGAAACCGTTAGATGGCACTGCTCTGTCCCATTTGTAACTCGTTAAGTCTACGCGTTCCTCCGCTACGAGGCGTCTCCTCTCGTCCTCGACACATTTGGTGATTGTTACACTTTGAAGAACATGGCCGGAATTAAAGCGGATTGACGTTTTACACCTTTATTGGTTGCGGGGTAAAAAAAAACAAGAGGATCAGAATTACGTCCCATATGAAATATGGTAACAATCATGGTATTTCGTGAAAAAGTTCATCTTCATTTCCCACTCGCAGATTCAAGAGCTTTGACTTGCTTATATATTGATACACGGATCAACAAGTACATGCGAGAATGCGCTATTGGCACTATGAATGTGAAAAATGAATAAGTGCAAAGTAATTATTCTTTAAGAAGAAATCAAAATGTTTCGCTCGGAAGCTTCGAGTTTTTCAAATCTATCTTATTTTAACCGAATCTCCGTTTAATCGATATTTCACCATCTGCACGTTCCGGTTCGACCGACCTCGATCTATCGTTGATTGAAAATCCGTATAAGCTCTGAACCAGAGACTGTTTGCCAACGATCTATCGATGACAAAGCGCGTAGGAGCGTGAAATAGACAATACAAACACCGGGCGACTTGTGATTAATGTTTTTGCAGACGGCCATTGTCGAGGATGAACCCACAGGGAGCTCTCGCTGTTTTGCAGCCGACCATTTGCCATCCATCCCGCGGTCATTCGTTACGAGTTGTTGGGCGCTTCGATTTCTCTAACAGGTACGAATTATCTCGAGTATTGTCGACGCGAGCGATGCTGCCTCTGCATGTAAAATAAAAAAAAAAAGAAATCAATACATTTGATCGAAGAACCGTCGTTCTCGAATTCTATGATTCTTTTTAATTCGCGAGTGAGAGGTTTATTCCCTAAATCCTTTCGAGTGAAACTCCACTCGAAGAAACTTTTCGCTCGTACAGAGTGAATTCTCCACTGTCAAACGACGAGTGAATTTTTCCACTCGAAATTAAGAGTGAATCTCACGTGCTCCGCCGTCACGAGAACGAATTCACTTCAATCGTTTCAGAAATTTCCTCGGATTATTCGTGGGTTAAGAATCTACTGTAAGGGCCAGTTTCACAATTTCCGATTAATTTAATCGACCGATTGAGCATCCGTGATTAATTATTTCTGGTCAGTACTGCTTAACGACAAATGTGATTGGTCAATTCCGACAGAATAATCAGCCGATTAATTTAATCGAAGATTGCGAAGCCGGCTCTAAGTTCGACACATCCTTTATAATCCTCTCGAGTGAAACATTCGCTCTTCCGAGTGACAGTATTTTCACTCGCTTCGAGTGGATTTTCACTTCCGAGTGAGACCGCACTCCGAGCAATTTAGAGAGTAAATGTCGATGTTCGGTATGAAGATTTAAGAATGTGGGATATCATAGCGACATTTCAATCTCAAGTCCAATTATGGAGGTGCTCTCGATATCGAGGACAACTCCGAGTGGATACACTCGGGGTATCCGCGATTGATAGGTATTACAGGGAGAATATCGCGGATAACTCGTGGAAATATCTCCTCCCTGGGAGAAAATCGTCCCCCGGCGTTCGCCGGAGGATCTGTTATTAAGATTAGACGGCCCGGGACGACGGCCCTGGTGTAAGCATCGCTGTTGCGACAATAGGGAAATCGAAAACTTTCGCCCGCACCCTCGAATTCGGGATGCTAATTGGTGGGTGGTTAGCCCGTAGCCACCGGCAAGTTTTCCGAGATTTATGAGCGTGCGAACGGCGCCGGCTAAGGCGTGAATATGCCCGAGTCATGCTCGCGGGCAGGCGAAAGGGGAACGCGAGATTTTGAATTAAACGTCAACCGCACGGCGAGACACGAAACTAACGTCTGCCCCGGCGCGGTGTCTGGGAGTAACGACGCTTCCCCAACTTGGCGCATTATTTCCACCCGTGGTAATAAGTTAACGACCGGTGTCTCGCTATCTTGACCAACAATCGTCACACGCGGGTGACATAAATCTATCCGACGTCTCTCGTTGCCGCGTCTTCTCCGCACCCACGCACACTTATCGCTCGATGTGTTTCCACTCTCATCTCTCGCGCGTATCTCTCCAGAGTTTATCCGCTTTTCCCTCAAATAAATGCACGCGTATCACATAGCGGGCAGCAGTGGTCTTGAAGAAACGGTGAGGATGAAAAAGAAGGGGGACAAAGAAGCGCGCTATAAATTCGGGGGTGACGAAACTCGGCAAGATGCAAAGACCGTGGACCAAGTGCAATGAAAGTGCCATTTGGTGCAGCACACACACACACACACACACGACGTTCACCCCTACGACTGGCACGTGCCTCGAATATAATTTATTGCAGTTGGAATTTTGTGGGGTGTCTCGCGATCCCTCGTTGCTCTTTGTACCTAGCGACGGGTACAAGCCACTTTTGCCGTCCGCTCGATACACAGAATCCCAGCCGTAATGACGATGATTCTACAACGAACACTCGAGGCTGGGGGTGAAAGAGAACGCCACAGTGTTCGTATTTTCCCAAAATAGTGGAAACGAACGGACGATACACACATAGATAAATACGTACTGCTTTCAAGTTAATATTACTTGTTTCAAACACGGAGAATATTTTGCTGCCACGGCAAATTATGTACTATTTTTCACCAAATTATTGTAGTTACCACGGGGACAATAAGAAAGTTTGTTTGGACAGCGAAAAGATTTATTAAGAGTATTAATCGTTGCACGATATTTGCTAGATATGTGGACAGTAAATTAATTTGTTTGTCAATTAAATTAATTGTAAATTTTATCGCTGTCGCAACGACGTTTTGCTACAACAGCGAAATTATTTTCCCGCGTAACAAATCTTTTGGCTATATCCCCATAATAACTAACAATTTGCTGTGCCAGCAAAATGTTTTTACTCCGTGAAATGTTCCATAAGTTTATATAGCCGCGAGTATACCGTAAGTTCGTCATAAGTGTCAGATTTATTTTAATATATATTTTGAATTCGAATAAATTTAGAAAGTACTTCGATCAATAATATTAAATTAAATCTAAAACTAAAACTTCGGTTTACTCAATTCAAATTAACCGAATTTAACTTTACCCCGAGCTTATCCCCGATATTCTCGAAGAGAGAACGAATTCGTCTTTTGAGCAAACGTTGAGCCTTCCTAATATTTGCGATGGGTATATTTTAATACCATTATCAAAATAATATTCTTCTTGTCCGAGATTAACTATTACTCAAAAGAAGAAAAATCAACTGAGTAATTGCTTTTCCTCGCAATACAATAATACTTATCTCTGTGCAGTTATGTGAAACAACAATGTGGAAGTTGTCGTACGAAATAATCACTTCTAACCGGTCGATCGGAAGTGGCAATTGTTATCGTCTTCCGTGCGAGTGATTATTAATCAGGTAATGAATCGCTCAGTGTCGACCAGATCGTCGCAAGCATTACTATTTTCGCGGCAGGAAATTCGGGTCTTCGATAGCACACGCCGGAACGGCGAGCGGGCGCGCGCTCTTTCGCATCTCCCTTAACGAGCCCGTATTTTTTTTTCCCCTGCCATCTGTGTGACAAGCCCGACGGAAGGAAATACGTTCTTGGCATATATCGCCGGCAACGATATATCGAGTTCATACGTGTCGCACTTGGAAATCGCGGTGGTTTTGAAGGAGTGTCCCAATAATTCGGATCTCGTATTTTGCCGAGAGCACCCAGCGCGAATCCCGGCTACCCTCATCGCCAAAACAACCACCCTCGCGTACGTGAGCGGGATGAGCAAGCGGGATTGGGCGGGAGAGACTCACACAGAGGAGGCGATCTGAAGTTTGGAGTTCGCGAGGAGTTCGACGGTCCCTTCGCACGTCGGGCTTTTTTTCCAGCAGGATATTTCCCGACAGGGTCGCGATCGAATCTCGCGCGCGCTGTCGTTCCATCCGACTCGGCATTATTTTAGCTTCGGCTTCGTCCAAAACCTAAAATGGCCGAGCGGAATTGGGAGGGATCGATAGCAATTATGCGCGAGATAAATAGAACACGAGCGAAGCGAGGTACGGATTGATAGCGATTTGCGATATCTGAAGTTTCCCGATCTCCGGGATTGGTCGGGGAGGGTTTTGGAATTTCTCTCTCTCTCTCTCCCTCACTTTCTCTCTCTCTTTCTCTCTCTCTCTCTCTTTCTCTCTGCTCCTGTTTCATCCGTCCGTTAATTTTGATTCTCTCGCCGCGGCATTAATCACGAGTGAAAAATCGCAGCGCTCACACATCGTCGACGACGAATCTCCCCCCTCTTTCGGCTCGCGCCTATGCATTCCCGCTGCGTTGGAAAAACCAATCTACTCGGCGGAAATACGAAGATCTCCCTCGAATTAAATGGCGCCTTTCGAGATTGCCCCTTCCGCGATTTCCGTTTGTGATATTCTTAAAGTGTATTAGCCCCAGTCATGAGTCCCGCAGGAGCGATCCTCCAGAAACTTTCCAGCGAGTTCGGTTGCTAGTTATACACGACACACATACACACACACTTCCTTTCTCTCTCTTTCTCTCTTTCTCGTCTATCCGGTAGAGAAGACGGTTGCAACTTCAATCCGAAAGATTACCAATTCATAATGATCTCGTTTCATTTTCTACTAAATTGCCATCTTGTTGAGTGCTGCCGTATTCCACACGTACGAATATTGTGTGTAAAATTTAATAATGTAATAATATAGGGTGAGGCAACAAGTATCACCGCTTTGAATATCATCGAAACGTGAGAGTGGAAGAGAAAACTTTATCTAATTTGCGTTGATGCTCCAACGTCATCGCTTCGAGCACTTTCTGTAAATGCAAACTCTTTTTATTCTCATCTAATGGTTGAGAAAAATCGTTAATATTAATATATAATACTAGAGGAGAAGGTGGTATTATGATAATATTTGTAGGTATTATGTACCCCTTTTAATATCTCTTATTAGGTAGCGAATTATAGTGATTACTTATGCAATCATTTATTTAATAGCCCGCTGTAGCGCTAATAAACTAACACACAGTAGTCAGTATTTGTTATAACACAATTTTATTTTTGAGCATTTCGGAACGCTTTCAAGATACATTTTAGCATTTAATTATGCATATTTCCGTATTCTTCTTAAACTCAAGCGACACTATTATGACACGAATATATATGTACATGTGAGTGTTTTGTTCCTTACTTGACATTTCATTCGACTATAAATTTCGAGTTATATATATAATAAGACATAAATATAAAATATTGTACTTTTTGAAGATCCTCCAAGTGGCGATATTATTATTGTATCTCATCCTGTGTAAGATATACCTCGTCGTAAAAGGGGAGGCATATTATTAAAGCGAAAGATAGGATCGAGATAGCAAAAGATAGAGATTCGAGATAACGATAGCGGAAGGATGTGCGCGAATCCTGCGTGCTGGACAGAAAGCACGGCGTGGTCCACGATGGTGGGGTCACGGCCGGGCGGCGCGCGGCGAGAGGAGGATACGCCGCTGGACCAAAATCTGGCCTCAGTCGGGCGCGACGCGCCATATGCGGAGGATCATTTGTCAGCCCGCTCACAAAGGCCAATAATCTCGCGCGTGACACGTGTGCCTCCCCCGATAAAAAGCGTTACGTCTGCGTTCTCGCGCGCGCGCCGCCTGGAAAAGGTTTTTCCGACCAGAGAGAATTCGGGTGTCGGCCGGTGCGCCTCGTCCGTGCGACGTCCACGATCGCGCTCCTTTCCGCCCGTTTCTTCAGAGGTGGATCTTCCGCGCGCGTCGTCGCGTCGATCAAACTCCTGAATTATTATTATCAGCCGCCATTCAGCTCGCAGGGTGAACGACCGGATCCTCGCGACTTAAATTCGGCGAATTCACGAAATGTCCCCGTCAACCTGCGGCTCGGAGCGCGCGGTATTCGCCGACCGAGAGGGTGCGAAGCACGTCGTAGAGGCGACCCGTTAACACGGAGATAGGTAAGTCGTACGTTTTCGCGCCCGCACCTACGGATGTGCGCGTCCTGCATGCGAATAATCCGATACCCGCGAATATACGAAATGTATTTTCGCTCGCACGCGCGCAAGTGCGCCGAGTTCGGGCGTTAGTATTATCGCCCGAATTGATTACGGTAAGAGCCTAATTCTTCCGGCGTAATTGAAGGATCTAATCGGCCGCGGGTACGCCAGGATAGTGCAATTAAAACTTCATGCGACCACGACGGCCCGTCCTGAAATAACGTGTAGCCTTCGGCGAAATAGATTCGCTTGGCGAGAGATGGAGAAAGAGAGAGAGGGAGAGGGAGAGCTTAACTATTTAATTATCGAACGTGTTACAGGAAACTAAAGAACACCGGAGTGGTCGCGATTAATTGAAAAGCACGCACGGTGAGAGGCAAGAGCGCACAGAGTGGCAGTTAATTTAACGTCACGCGCGCGCGGAACATCGTTTTATAAATATTATGAGATCCAGTTAATTACAGAGTGAGACTTATTACGCCGGCTCGGCCGCCAGGCGGCTTCTACGTTTGTTAAGGGGTGGACAAAGCGGCGAGATAAGAGCTGCTCGCGCGCCGTGCTGAATCACGGCCTGTGATGAGACAACGAGCGTGTAAATGTGTTTTCGGTGTAGCCGCGAGAGCACTTAACAATTGCTTAAAATAACCAGAACCGTGTGCCACCTCGGTGGAAAATGCTCTCTCTCTCTCTCGCGCGCGCGCGCGCGCACGACGACCGCGTGGCGCTAAATTCGGACCAAATCGAGAATTGAGATGCGCATCGCCGATGCGAGTTGCCGATGCATCTTTCAGTCGGCTCGAGCCATAACGTATCGTTTATTCATTCGCTCGTTTATTTATAGTCTACGTCTACGTAAAATACCGAGAGGAAATATCAGGGGAGGTGTTATATCCAGGAGGAGCGCGCGCTCTCTGGAAAATCTCGAGATCTTCTTCTCCTCTCTGGAGAATCGTCCCTTCAAACGACCGAGTTCTCGCGACAAATATAAGATCGATTTAATTTAATTTCACGCCGAGTCCCGATGTGGGAATGCAATTGACGATATGGCCGCTAATCAGATATATTTTTTGCTCACCGTTGTGATCTAATTGAAATGAAAATTAAAATCAGAATTAAAGGTAAAACTCTCATCGAGTTTGCATAGAATTAATCGAAGAATATTATATATTAGGTTGGGGAAAAAGAAATCCATTATTTTTACGTGAACTTCAAGACTTTATTTAACATGTTTCCCCAACCTAATATATGCACACAGGGTGTTTCAGCATATGGAAGACACTTAAAAACCTCGGAAGTCTAAATATGAGGCCTTAAAAACCTTAAAACAATAAAAAAATATGACCGTAAACAAAATTTTTCTTCCACGATATTCCTTCATTGAAATCATTCAAGTTGTACTCGAAACACATTCTCATATCATTAAAAACAAAAGAGACATATGTACGTGCATACATATATACGTACATATGTACGTATATTTTTCTTTTTCTATATTATTGTAGATTAAGGGGTGTTGAAAATAATCCCCCCGGAAGGATCTATTCGATTGGGCCCAAAGTTACAGGGCATATTTCTCGTGCCCCTTCTTCTGGGCCATCCTGTATGAACCCATGGTTGTTTTGCCAATGAACTGGGATCACTTGGTCTTGTCTCTCTGTTGACCAAGTTTCAGCTCAATCCGATACATCCTTCTGGGTGGGGCATTTTCAATACTCCTTAGCGTAAGCGACCTAAAATCAACGACGTTATTGTCCTCACTTCCTCTCGCCCACTTCGTAATTCATTCTTTCCCTCTCTCTCTCTCTCTTTCTCTCTCTCTCTTTCTGTCTTTCTTTCTCGTTCTCTCCCCTTTTCTACTCTCTATCCTCCAATAATCGCGCATCTCTCGGAATCACACGCATGGTTCTTCCACCGGAAGGAGATAGTCGAAGGACCCTTTAATTCTGAACTTTTCGGCCCTCTGAATAAAAAGACCCGATTATCCTTTGTTTTTTTCCCGGAGTTCGACCGCGTTATCCCATCGGGGGAAATCGCGAAAAGTTTTTAGAGACCGACGCCGTTTCTTCGAAGGGATCACCGGCCGTAACCTGTCTCCTCGAGACGGCTCCAAGAACTTCGGAATTTTTCGTTGCGGAGTTGCAAGCTCGCCGGCTTATATGTATGTCCTTTGCCCCTTACTTCCCCCCATTTATCCAGCATCCTTCAACTTTATCCCACCTTTTCGCACCGTTTGTCCGCCTCGTGTCCGTAAGAGGCGCGATACGTGGAAGGAATTTCGGGCGAACGTATGAACGAGTTAAAAAGAGACGAATTGGGGGGGTTTGCTCGGGATTGACTCGGCGAAGCTATAAATCCGGTGGACATGCATTATTCCGAAGAAGAAATGCATCGAAATTTAAAATGTGTTAAAATTTAACGGGACAATTATCCCGGAAAGTTATAATACCCGAGATACGAACAGCGAGACAATCTCCCGAAATACAATTTCCCTGAAATATTGGAACTGTCTCGTTGCACAGCCGGGTGCATTAGTAATAGTTCCACCTCGGGAATAATCGTACGCTTCGGGAAAATTGTGTTTCAGGATATCGTCTCAGCTTCATTCAGATTTCGGTATTACGACTTTTCGAGAGAAAATTGTTCCGCTTTTTCAATTTCGAGATTCGAATCTCTCCGTACAATTCGTGTCCACCACGAATTCTTCATCCTCGAGATCTCAAGACGTTTGCCTTAACGACCACTTAGTTAGTTTCAATTTCGTTGCACGCATATCGGGAAGAAGATAAATAACGAGTTAACGATGGTCGTGTTATCTCAGTCTCATAAGAGAAAGAGAAGAAGAAATTTCAACGGCGACGTTTTTTATCTCGCAGATGATAAGCGCCCCTCTCTTTCTTCCTCTCTTTCTCTCTCTCTCTCGGCTGCGTCTTTACGTCGCCTTCGTAAAGGACGAGCGGAATCTTCACGATGAAGAGCGGAAAATGAGCGAAACCGGAAGACGAAGGCGGCACTGAGAGGACGTGGAAAGCAGGGTGAAGAAGGCCGCCGCCGTACGTCGCGGCGAAGATGAGATCGAAAGCTGCTCTGTGCCTGCTCTCCCTGCTGATCCTGCCGCTGGATGATCCTTCGTGGGCTTCCGCCGAGATCAGAGGTACGTCGACGCCGTTACATTTCTGCGTTAATTAGCGCGATCGATGAGAGAGACGTTGCCCTCGAAATCAGGGTCGGCCGCTTATCATCGCTTTTTCGCGAAAAGGCGGATGTTCCTGAACGAAGGAAATGCGTTATCTCGTCAATTTACATCGCCTTTGTCCTTCCTGCGAGTCTCGTTTCGCTCGTATCGCCGATGACTCGCGAGTAATTCGATTAAGGGGAAACGACAGTGCGGATGGGGGCTTCGACGAGGAACGAAATCGCGTGGCTTAATGAAGCACGACGGCGGGGGCGGGGAGCAAAATTCTGCCGAGAAAAGCGGCTAATCCGCCTCGCCGTAACGGAGCAACATTTGCGTAGGATCGTGCGGAAGGGACGTGTTCCCAGCGTGATCGTTAAAATTACCGACCGGTGTGTTCGAGCGGGCGGGATTAGACATCGCGCGCGGTCCTTACGTCGCGTAACAGAACTGAGATCCAACTCACGAAATTGCGCGGAAACAACGCGTATATACACGGTTACGCGCTCTGTTACGATTACGACGCTCGTAAAAATTCGAAGCAAGTGTTCTGAGACGTTTCTTATCCGACGCCTCGCGAGAGCGTTTCTGTGTCGATGATAAAATGAGAGCAGGGGCCGCGCGACGTTGCCCTTTCTTCCGTCATATAACATCGATACGTGCCGAAGGAGTCGCGAGTTTATGACTATTCATGGCCCTCGTAACGAGAAAATCGTCGGTACGTGCGGGAGTGAACGCCCGAGGACACTCGGTGTAATTAATCGTATGCGTTGTCACGTCGCCTGATACGGATGGTCCATGGCTCCCGTATATTATCGGAGATATTGAACGTATATCCCTTGGAAATAAGAACAGGATACTCGCATTACATCGTGATATCAGTGTCTGGCCTAACAATTAATTTACATACAATAAACGGAGGAGAAGATGGTATTACGACCTCTATTTACATTTTGTATAATAACTTTGTTAATAATCGATACTTTAAATTGAAAATCTAACGATTACATTACGTCAAAGTGTTGTTCAATCGATTCTAGACTGAAAGTTATGAAATATTGATTACTTAGAGCTTTATTTGTAAAAATATGGCGATATCGCGTAATGAATCGAAGAGGAACAGAAGTGGTAATGTGGCTTCTTCCTTTTGAAAAAAATTAGTTCTATTTGAAAAGACGTTTTATCACAAATTTATATATATTTATTCAAAATAAACTCTTAGAAGAAGCAACGATGAGTGTAACCGTGAATTTTTAACGTAGATATTGACTTACTTGTCAGAAGGTAGATACGAACTTTCAGAAGGACAGTTTCTATAAAACGAATAGACACTTTTAAACTTGAATTACTGACTTCGAATAACAATTTTGATATGAGAACCTCGAGAAAGAGATCGTGTTAAATCGATTTTAGTTAGGGTCAAATTAGCAAAATGCCATGCTATCGTTTTGTGTAACCCGAAATATGTGTGGCTGAATAAAATATTAAATAATGAACAAAACACCCAAATATACATAACGTATGTATGATAATACGTCCAAGTTTAAGAAGAATAAAGAAATATGTGTAAAGCGGCGTCTACAATGAGAATTTCAGGCATAAGATTAAAGTTTTAAGCCTTAAGCCGTAAGAAATTGACCAATCACAGTCAAATGTGAGAAGAATAATCGATTGTGATTGGTCAATTTACTACGACTTAAGGCTTAAAACTTGAGTTTCACGCCTTAAATTCTCATTATAGGCGGCGCTTTATTAAATGCTAAAATGTATCTTGAAAACGTTTGGAAATGCTCGAAGGTAAAAGTGCATTATAACAAATGCCGGCTATTGTGTAATGGTAGGTTACTAAACAAATGATTCCATAAGTAATTGCTAGAATTCGTTATTTAATAGCGGAAATATTACGAGGGGCCGTAATACCTACGAGGGTCATAATACCACTTCTCTTCGAATACATTAAAATTTATTGATATTAATTAAATGACTTAATATAAGTATTCAAGAAAATCGGATAAAGCCGCAGGTCTTCCGACGTCGTTCAAAAGACGAACTGGCCAGAAATGAATAAATTAAATTAATTAGTTAAATCGAGTTAAAGTTTAACGCGTACGTTAAGATAACGTTAAACATACGTTCCGTTTGTTATAAACCTTTGTTCAAGAGACGAATTGATAGGGTGAAAATTAACAATAATAAGTGAAATGTAACGTATGCTGCGTTGCTTCTCGCGAAACGACACTTTCGCAGTTGGCAAGATAAACCTCCTGGTCTTGGTGGAGTCAAATGTGAATTGGGAAAAGAACGACGAGAGGTATCAACGGGAGCATTGTTGAGCGCAGCCGATCAACCAATTGAATCGTCGCGTTGTACAAACGTCGCGGTGTATCCGCGATACTCACACGTACACACGCATGCGTGCACGACAAAATTGTGATGATAAATAAGCTAAATCGAGAAGCGGAAGTATACACGAGGCGGCGCGAGGAGACGGAAGACACACAGCATCGGCAAACGGCGCTTCGTTTCAGCGAGATTGCCTACATCAATGGCAATTAATTAGCTGGTAAACTCTGAGTAATTTCATTAGACCGCGCAGTCAAGGGTCGTTGAATAAATAAGGTCGTGTTTTCATCGAGAATACCGGCGGCGGTTCCGGTAACGATTTCTCGCAATGTCTTGTCCTTTACTGCGAAATAATTTCAAGCGAGATCGATGCCTGAGATCGAGTTGNCCCCCCCCCCTCCCCCTAAGGGACTTTCACGGAAGGGCTGCGGAAGAGGGTTGCACTGAACGAAAGACTATCGCGATAGCTGGACGTTAATGTGAATTTCATCTTATCAAAATAATATCCATCTCTCTCCCTTCCTCCCTCTCTCTCTCTTTCTCTCTTTCTGGCTACGCCGTATTATTCATGTGCATTACTCCGGCTGGATTTAAATAAAGGGAAATAAGAGATGTAATTATTTAACAGAATGTAATTATCACGCTTCACACTCGGACGCCCTTTTTCGAGCGAACTGGCTGATTAAAATCGAACTTTTCTCATTATTTCTCTGTTTACATAGCCAGAGTGCGTTTTATTTTAAACCGCGTGTTTTACACGCTGCGAGTGTTGCACGCAATTTTTCCCGTTTTAAACGACATGTCGTTCGCGTTATTCGCAGGATGCAATCGCACCATCAGGAATTCGGTCGGTTGGATTCGCTGGACGGGACGAATGGGTCGATGCATCGTGAGAATCAGGGCACCGCTCAGGGATCCGCAGGTTAACATATACCGAGTATACCTCCTTGTGACGATAAATTTTCGTAAGAAAGAAAAGAGCAAAAAGACAAAAGGGAGAGAGGAGCCGGAAAAACGAAGCGTCAGTCGGATAAATTGAGCCGATACTTAGCTGTTTCCGCAGGTGATCGAGGTGAAAGTTCGACGATTGCAGGTAGGCTTTCTGAAGGAGGCCCGATGCGAGGGGGCGTATTTTCAGTTCTCGGACAGCCTGGACGATCCTGACGACGAGACGGGTCGATATTGCGGTCACGTGACTGGAAATGCCACGAGGTATATTTTTTTCATGGACGTGGCCACTCGTGGATTTTAGATCGGCGTTATTAAAGTTTCATCTGTTTCCGACCTGGCAGGCTGTTTCTGCGACGAGGTCCCGATCTGACGATCACCTTAGCCTCGGACGAGCAGTTCGCCTTGACGAATCCGGTCATCTTTTCCGCTCAATTCTCCATCCTGCCGGTGCGTCTGGCGATCGAACGTCACCGCGGCTATTCCGCGTCCTCGTCACCCACCTGTCCCGTGGAATGCACAATGCGTAATGAGCGACGGTCCTGCAGGTTGACTTCGCCGGGTTATCCCTGTGTGTATCCGCGAGGCATCAGGTGAGCCATCTTCGACGAGTCAAGTGTCAAAAGCGGAATCGCGCGAGTCGTAATGTGAAACGAGATTGACGTTCGAGTCGCGGTTTAAGGAAGACCGGGGCGAGTTGGCGTACCTTTCAGAATTTCATTAGAACTTTTTAGACGTCTAATTGATTGTACGAAGATGATCTTAACCCCATTATCAGCGCCTAAGTTGCACAAGTGAGCCCAAAATGCTCAACGTTAAATGATAAGTCAATTGTGACGAATACATGTATCACAAATGTTCCGAAAACATTCTAGGGATGTCCCAGAGATATTCACAAAAATGTATTAGCCTTCCTTAGCAAGATCAAGTCTATTAAAAGCCTCTGCATTATTAGAAAAATCAAGAAAAAATAAAATCGACATGAATTCCCGTCAGAATGAGCTACAATATTCTGTTAATATTCTGTCCATGTATGTTTGAAAAAGAAACCCTTTTTGCCGATTCCTTTTTACCCACTATCTCTCTCGCGATAAACAGACAAACGAAGCGCACGGTCAAGCTGTCCCTTACACCAACGAATTCGCTCCAGTCCCCCCAGTCTTAAACGTCCCTAGCACGCGCCGAATTACGGTTCGCGACCGCGTGCTGGAATATTGAATATTGAACGGCCGATTGTTTCCGGACTCGCAGATGCAGAGTCGCTCTCGAGTCGAGCGCCGGTCGCTTCAGGATAGGCGGTCAACCGGAAGACCTGTTCGACTTGATGAACTACACCGACCAAAAGGGCTGTCAGATAGAGAACTGCGAGGACTCGCTCGAGCCTAAGGGACTCGGCCAGGCGTCGACCGAAAGAATCGCGAGGGATGAATCTGTTATCAGGATCGGGGACAATTGGCCGGGGGACAACAATGGCCAGATTCCCGCGATGGAGCTGGGAAGTGAAGAAACGAGCGAACGGCTAATGAGGCAGAGACACTACGAGAAAAAGGCGGCACGGCACAGGGGAAAGCAATACCGCAAGGAGCCGGCGCATAAGTTTGACGCGAGCGAGTCGCGGCACGCGCCGAGGCTCAAATCGATGCGTTCGAAGGTAACGAGGAAGGACCAGCGGAGGGTCGTCGTGCCGAATTGTTATCTCAGCGGCGACTTTGAAAGGCGGGATGAAACGGCCGGTAGCGCGATGGTACGTAAGTCGTTCGAGCGGCGTAAGTAAATTAGAGCGCACAATGAACGTGTGCGCTCTTGCATCCACGAAATAAGTGCATCTTTCTAAAGTAAAGATGCGGCGGCTCTAATTGCTCACTTGTGCGATGGCTCGAATTATTTTTTATCGTCTCGGTCGGTATTTCGAGTAAATCACTTCGTAGTTAACACGTTCGTAATAATTAACCACAATTTATTTAGCGAAACCTCAAGTTTTTTTTATGTAATCGTATTCTCGGGGGAAAATATTTATCACATACGATTAACACATATAATATGTGTAGAATATGTCCTCGTATAAAAATATATTATTATATATGTGTGATTATATATATATATATATATATAACTCTCTGTATTGCCACTTCATATATAATTATATATATTTTTATATATGGACATATTTTACATACGACGCCTTATATATTTATATACAATTATATATGGAAGACATTTTTTCCCGAGTTTTTACGTGCAAAGTTTTATGTAATTGAGTGAAGCAGACTTCAGTCTGTTTATGAGCACACAGAAAGAACAACTGCTCTGTTAGATATATGTGACTCTGGTAGCGAATATGTTAAAGTCATTAAGTCCTTTGCTGCGCCATGTTTCAACCAAAAGTGCTCGCTGTATGCGGCACAGTATTCAATTGTGTGACACTGAGGCGGAATAATATAAAGGAAAATTCTAACCAAAAAATTCAAATTAGGTGCACAGTAAGCGAAAAGTCATTAACGCGTTATTATAATGCTATTTTATGTATGTATGCAACGCTATTTTTAACGATGTTTGACCCAAATATTAGAGATAATCTTCCTACACTATAACTTTTTTAAATATTTAGAAACGTAATATTATCAATAGTTTAAAAACACCCGTAAAATGTTATATCGAAATGTTTATAAAACTCAACATAAAATCAGTATTTCGAAAGATTGATCTAATGTTTCTCACTTACTGAAATGCTTCTAAGGATGCTTCCCGTTCTCGTTCTCTCGTTTCCTGATCGATGTGTTCCCCACAAGGTGTCAGAGCAGAAGCACCTCGACGGGAATCGCCCATCGGGGAACGCCACGTGCGAGGGCGACTACCTCGCGCTCCTGGAGAACGTGAATGGCAAGGTGTTCGAGATCCGGAGGTTCTGCGGCGCCGGTCGAGTGCCCCGTATCTTCTCGCGCGGGAAGAACGTGATCCTGGAGTTTGTCGCCCGGCACGACGGCACGGTGCTGCACGACGGCTTCCAAGTGACTCTGCTGGAGGAACGGGCCCCGGAGGCGAGACACGCGAATTGCGAGTTCGTGTACAGGAGCTCGGGCCGCGTCAGGGAGAACATTAAATCCCTACGGAGCTGGTATCCGCCCAATACCGTGTGCACTTACAAGTTTCTCGGCAGGGTTATGGAGAAGGTATCCATTCACATAAAGATCCTCAGGAACGAATTCGCGCAGGAGAAACCGGTCGATACCAGGCGGAACTTCAGCTTGAATTACTGCCCCGGCAACGAGATCGCCGTCTATAACGGCGCCCAGGTAATTATCTCAGCTATCCTGATTATCCTCGAACCGACGAGAATTGATAAGCGGAGAAAGTAAGGGAAAAAAGAGAGAGAAAGAATATAAAATCGACGATTTGCAGGTGAATGGCAGCTTCTTGATGTGGTCCTATTGCGACGTGTCTCACTGGGACATCAACAACATCCAAGTACCTTTGACGTCTAGCGGAAACGAATTATTGATCCAATACTACAGCGCCAGAGGGTCCTACGATGGTCAGGGATTCACCTACGCTATATCCTACAGGTTCATCAGAAAAGAGCAGAACGGCACCGTAGGGCGTGCCCACGGCAAGTACAAGTCGATCTCTCTGAGGCCGGTCAACCTGTCGGTCCTGAATCTCAACGACACCGACAACTGCAACTGCAATTTCGACAACAGAATGGGCACTTTCAAGAATTGGTTCGTCGTACTGGTGATCCTCGGTATCGTGTCCTTCCTCGGGGCCATCGTCACGATAGTCGCCCTGATCGCGAAATTCCTGAAGATCAGATCGTCCGAGAAGAAACTCTTGCAAAACGCGAAACAATGAGGCGCTCGCGCGCTTTCCCTTCGGCAATCTCTCATCTTTATCGTTACGGAATTGGAGTTAAAATAAACAAGATCTCCGAGTTTCGACAATGAGAGAAGGGAGGAACGAGTACTGAAATCGGAGCGATTCGCGCGCAAAAAAAAAAGAAAAATCCGGCAAAAATAGAACGAGGTCCCACCGAGACTTGAACTCGGATCGCTGGATTCAGAGTCCAGAGTGCTAACCATTACACCATGGGACCTTGACGGCTTCTATATGAACCAATTGACACTGGAAGTCACCGGTGATGCACAAGAGGCATTGCTGAAAATTACGAGAGATGATCCAGATCTCACGATGGTGATCGATCTTGATATCACGATTTTTCGTATCACGATCGACATCGCGCCAATATCCCTTCGACATATCGTGGAAGAAATCTCGCCCTTTCCGACGAGTAAAAAATGAAGGTTGTATATACGCAACTATGTATATCGAACTGAATTTTTATACGTAACACACACGCAACAATAATAAATCCGCAATAAAGTATACCTGAGGTAAATAAAGAGCTTGACGACGAAATTACTACAGCCACCAGTATTAGTAGTTGGTATTAAATGCAATACTCACCCCTTTCGATATCTCCCGATGAAATGATCAACTCTAATTGCTTTAGAACTAATAAAAGCAACGTGTCTAATCGCCACGGTCTAACCGAGCGGTGCTGGTCTTCCACGACACCGTCAGATGGCGCCAGAAGCCCTCTGAGGCTTACGTCAAGCGAATCCCGACTTTCAAGTAGTACGTCTCGACAACGGAGCGGAAGAATTCTTTATTCGTCAGTAACACGATTGAACAGCAAGTAGGAGAAACTTTTGCCTCCTTTTATCAACGATAAATTAAGTGTTCCTCTGATTTGACGACTGATTAAGTTCCCGTTACTGAGAAGTGAAAGTCCGAGTACAGGCTTCGAGGTAATTACGAATATAAAGTACGTATATATACGTAAGAGTTATTATAGAGAATCTGAGAATTATGGAGAATTTATTTTCCACATTTACCGGAACGACAAATTCCGCCATTGGATACGAATGCGTTGCAACTTTTCGTCTCTCACCGTATATGTGCAGCGCGCACGTCGGAGCCACATGTTTGGCGCAAGTTTACTCGCGAAATTTATTATATTTAATTAAAAGTTATCTGTGCGCACATACGCACACATGCAGAGCGTTCATACACATCTACCCACATTGTGCGCGCGGCGCGAGGCTAATTGCGTTTGAATGCGCGGCCGAGCAGACAATCGATCCTTAAAGAAAGAGAATCGAACATCGATTCTCGGTGCATCGCCCATTTCTCAGGCGCCGCGCGCTCTCTTTCTCTCTCTTCCCACATAGGTGCGCTACGAGTATCGGCGTGGAAGAACGCAAGGTTATTTCACGCGAGACACAAGACAAGGAAGATGGCCGGCTCGGGGAACGCTTGTGATGCCGGTACGTTCTTGCAGAAACTCGGCCTGCGGCCGGTGACGAGATGCAGCCTCGCGAAATTCTACGCGCCGGCATACGGGGCGGCCTCGTACACCGCGATGTCCATCAATGTCATGAACCCCAGCCTTGTCATCAAGTAAGTAGCCGCCACGACAGTTTCCCATCGCGCTGGGCATCCGGTAATATTAACCTTCAGCGATGTGTGTCCAGCCTCCGGATTATTACGTAACTCCGTACGAGCGAGATGTACTTTCACGGGTCGTTGTTAGGTTAGGACGGCCGATCACACGCTTTTTCGCGTAATCTCAAGCGGACTTTATATCTTTGCCTTCGATCGGTGATATTTCTGATTCTTGGCACGACGTATAGTGATATAAATGATGGATATAGGGAGGGCGAGAATACAAAGTTTCCCAGGGAGACTCGCATCGTGTGTGCCTGAAGATTCTATTATAAGAGACAAGTCGACATCTTTCATCTCGCATACACACCATCCGATGCAACTTTGCCACATCGACGATGATGTGTCATTCATGAAAGAGCGGTGGAAAGTAGCTCTGTCTCTCATTTCAGAGTATTTCCGAAGAAGGATATCACAAATTTCTTACTGGCCGGCACTCTGTTCGGCACTGGATCCTATATTTACACACGTGAGCACATGAAGAATGCGCCAGAGCGCCAGAGAATCCTGTACAGGTGAGGGTTTTGATATCAGTAGTGTATGTACTTATGAGGATCCATGTAGATAAGTATTCAGCAAAAATTACATCTTGCCAATTCTTTTGAAATCAACAGATATTGTAGGGAAGTTCCCAAGTAATTTCCAGGGGGAAAAAGTAAGAGACAGTATAGTTGTCGAAACGTGAAGACAAGGTGAAATTTGAAATTTGTATGTTTTCTGGATGTCATCTGGTGCTGTGAACAAGATGAAGTTAATATATTTTGTAGAAAGTGAACATGAGATGAGTACGCCACACGTTTGGCCTATATTCTGAACTCTTTTTTTTTTATTGATAAAAGTGCCTCTAAAAATGGTTTAGGGACCACTTGATTGGCTGAGAAGCCACATTTAGAGCACTTTTATCGATAAAACAGAGTTCAGAACACAGGCCTTTGTATTGTTTACAACATTAGCTTACGATGTTTCCAAAAAGGAATGAAAATTTTTAATTCCCTAACATCTTGACAACCAATGCCTTGTATCTTACTAGGTTCTCGTTGAAAATCACCTTTAACCAACCAGCAATAATCTCAAACCGAAAAGATTTGCTGAAATATGACTTTTCCCCGATTATTTACCTGCATATATTTCAAATAACGTATCCTAATCTCTCGTGTATTGAATCTGCTCAGTGTCACTGGTGCGGTATTGCTGAGCTTCGGGTCGGTCTTACTTTGGGCGGTGCTCCGAGCGATAATACCACCGAATCCAGCCCTCTGCACGATAGCCGGTGTTAGCAGCGGATTAGCGCTCATGAAAGTTAGCGCGAGCTATCTTCAGTTTGTGGATGGACAGATAGTTAAAAAGTAGGCTGCTTCTGTGTATTTTCGGTTCTTGTTCTTTTGCTTGTTTTTTATATTTCGATTGAAACCACTACTATTGAATAATATCACAGAAGGGAATCACGATGGGACGGGAAACTTGTTGCACAAGAGTCGTAACTTATAACACAAGAGAGACAGAGAGAAAGAGAGAGAGAGGAAGAGAGACATTGTATCCGAATATTGAAGCGTTACGTTTCAAACGATTGTCTTCGCGACGAGACGGATCATCGAGAATCGTGTATCATGTTAAACCAAAAAAAAAAAAAACACAAGAAAAACGGCCAACGTCTCAGATCAGGAATCTCACATGAAATTCCTCAGGTACAGAGCAACAGAAATGTACTATTCGATATATCGAAACTAATCGAAACTCGAATTGATTCTTGAAAATTCTTCTATACTGTTCTCACATCGGATATCCGTACTATACTCTGTTCTCTCGGTGTCGCTCGCCGCTCGTGCAACGTCGTTACCGGCATTCGATAAAAGTCATTCGTTATAAAACCAGATAAGAGGTGCACGCTGTGAGCACTTGGAGAAATCCACGGTAGCGCCGGTGCGCCTAAGAAGCCGGAGATGCGTCGTATGTATTAAGCTGTTTTGTAAGCTGTACAGCGTTCACAGGATGCCAGAGCATGCATCGTCATGTAGATAAATATCACCGTAAATATATACACGTGAGAATCGTGCAATTCGTGTGGCACGACACAAAAAAATGTACAAAAATATGAAACATGCGAGTTTCTTTACCCGTCCGACACACATCCGCGTATTCTATTTTCGTTATTTGCGAAAGAAAAGAACTGGAAACGCGTAAACATCGAGAAAGAGATCGAGATCTCCCGTAACGAAGTACAAACGCGCGAAGGCCTTGTCGGTCTCTCCCCTCCTGCCACTTCCCGCTTGTTACTGAAACGCGCGTTTGTTTCTTCAACCCATTATCGTTTATTTATGCATACTGTTACACCCTCGTGCGATTGAGGCAAACATCGAGTCAGATAAGAGGAAGCCGCGCAGACATAGCAAAACAAACGCGGATGACTGATACTCGGCGCGAGCCGGCCAGTTGATCTCGTTGCCGCTCAACTTAGTCGATCGCGGCGTATTAAACGAGAGAACGGCAACTCGGACCGCACATTATTGGATGTTATAGTAATCGAAGAAGACACGAGGGAAAATAGGCGGCGAGACTTCGTCCGAAGTCGCGCAAATGCGACGCGCAACGTTCACGTCGGCCGGGCCGAGCGCATCCTGAAATTAATCGCAAATAAGCGCGATTGATAGGACGCCCGGAGAACCTTGGCGTTTTATCCTACGCGAAATTGTTGTCTACGCGTTGCCATATAACCGCTGAAGTCATACGATAATTTATCTCGTTGAAAGAGAGAGAGAGAGAGAGAGAGAGAGAGAATATGAACGTTCCATACGTCGGGAATCGGAAACATTTCATAAAAGCCTTTATACACAGTGTCCCAGAGTCACCCATGCATCCTTTATCCGTGCAGGTTTACATTTTAAGCAGGTCTCTCTCTCCCTGACAGAAATGTCGAAGGGCCGACAAGTGATGAAACGAAATTTCGCAAACACAAATTCACTCTTTGTGGTTCGAATAGGTTTTAATACTTTTTTGTTATTTTTTGCACGCATAAATGTCCAAAAATAACACATTTGACTGAAGCTATTCTTACATGTTTTTGCCGACTTAGCTTACGCCATTTAAAACGTTTAATTGTATTAAATCAACGTGTTAAATTACGACGTGTTAAATGACGTGCTTTAAAACGGCGAAACACGTGTAAGAAATGTGTATGGAAGAGTTTTTCAGCTGAAAGATTTGCAGTGTACACACGTAGAAAAAGAAGATTGAATTAACGTGACGATGAACGAATCAAGCGCGTTTTCGTGGGAGGAGACAAAATTTCTCGTTCTTACGAACTAAATTCGGTTCTCAATCAAGAATTCCGTTTCCTTGAAGCAAACGAAATTCGGTTTGTTCATTGTCACGTTAATTCGATCGGTCATGTTTCCTCCGTGCAGATGACGATCGACTCGACGTTTTTGTCGAGGAAAAACGGAGCGAAAATCGGCCCGGATACTTCGGATGCACGCGAGCATCGATCGCTTGCTGTTACACACGGTGTAGCGTGCCTCGTCGTGCCTCGGTGCGATTGCTATTGTTTCGGTGCATCACTGATTGTGACATGGCGTGCTTTCCGACAACAGCCACTCTCGACGCGTAACCCGATGATCATTCGCGCAACTCGATAAAAGCGTATATTTTTGGCCCGTAGAGAAGCTTCCCGGAGGCACACATCGCGATTCGTTTCTTTATCCCGGTCGACTCGTCCTTGATAAGCGTCGAGAATAACGCATACTAGAGCCGTTACTCTTACGAAGCTTCGAAGGAAGATCACATCTCTGATTTATTTTTCTCAAGAGAAAGCACGTTGAGGAGAAAACTTGCTCGAGAAATATCATTATTATTATTTTCTTGTTATTATTATTGCAGATGTAATGTTGAAAATGCGCAAAGATCACACGGCACGAGAGATCCATCGGCGTTCTCCACCTCGGCGAAGGATAGGAAGTACAATGCGTGGTGTAAAAATACCCCCGTGATAATTTATTAAAATATCTTACACAGGTGCGCGGCGTATTTTTCAGGCGGAAAAATTCAGAATCGAGCCTCATTCGGCAGATTTCACGCGGATTCGCGTTCGCATTTTCCCGACTAAGCGAGAAGAATCCTTCGCGTGTCGAATTCTTCCGTCTACATCCCTCTCGGTATTACTTGTAATACTTCCGATCGCATGGAACATCCAGGCCTCGGCTCGGCGTGGACCGTTGGTGAACTTGAAGGCACTTAAATAGTCATACGAACGATAGAACTACCTAAGACGTTAGAAAAAAGAAAAAAAAGATCCCGCTACGGCGAACTTCCTCGGAAAAGCGCACATTCTTCACGTGTCTGTCGCAACAGTTAGCAACACCGTCAGGAATTCATAAGGTTTTTCCTCGGGGCCACTCTCGCGTTGAACAACAACAACGTTCCGCCTCAGATACGCAGCATGTGCCGATCGATGGCCGCCGGATGATCCGTGAGAATCCACCGACGAGACGGCCTCCCCCTACTCGAGCAAAGTTCGTCTCGGCGAAGGCACTGTCCTTATCGTCACCGTCGAGAGGAGAGCTCTAGGAAAGCTCCCTTCACCCTTCACAAATCTCCCACGAGCCTTCCCCCCGGAGCTGGATCGGCGAAACTTGGCACCGTTAGAAAGTCATTAGCGGAACTTGGGTCGATCCCTAGCTTTGAGGAATCAACGTCGACGATTCGGTCATGTTAACGACTTCTTGCGTCGTCGTCTCCGTCGTCGTCGGCATCGTGGTGGTGGTCGTCGACGTGAGGGCGTTCGACAGGGCCTCGACGAAGTTCTCCGTCACCTTGTCGATCGCGTCCGTCAAGACGGTCGTCGTCTCGTGCGCGTGCGAGTGGTGGTTCTCCAGCTCGTGCTCGTGATGATCGTGCTCGTCCACGTGGCCGGCCGCATGCGTGTGGCCACCACCGTGCGAGTGCGAGTGCGAATGGGAATGGGCGGCTGTAAGAAAAAAAAGAGAGCGGAAATTGCTCGTGAGATTTTCTGCGATTTCTTCGGACGGGAGAAATCCCCTCGGCGAGAACAATCGGTTTGTGAGAAGACAAGAGGCGGAGACGGGAGTTGGAGCTGGAAGGGATCGGTGGGAACTCGAACTTTGGTCACTCGTCTGCATTCCTTTCTAATCGACCCAACACGCCGATTTCGATGACGGCTGGAAACGGACGTTAGCAGACGGGAAAAAGATTAAAAATTCCGTCAGGCTGGTCCCCCGATTTCAGGTTATTCTACAATAGGCTGGACGGTGGGTGATGTAGCAGGCCTGAACTAAATTGTGACGTGATTTCTAGCAAAAGCGTTTCCAGCGCTACCGGACATCCGCAATTGCCAAGATTTAAGCGTTATTACGGCTTCCAGCGGCGCGGTAAACGCCTTTTGTCAGAAATTACGTTGCATTTTATTACTTAGAGTTAAAGGCTAAAGGTTTGCTTGCACGTATTGTAGATCCGCACTACCGTTGGAATCCACGCAACATTATGACGTCTTAAAGATATCTTAAATTCCAAAGGCGTCCTATTAAATCGTCAAAATGACGTATATTTATGATATGTATTATGTCGTATTATATGTCTTGAAGACGCCATACGTTTTGATTTAACCCTTTGATTGCGTACGCCGTATATTTCTATTGTTTTTCATTTATATACGACGGATATATACAGTACAGTGACCGCAAAGTAAATATTAAATGTTACTTGTTCCGTTTGTTTTATTAAATTTTATGCATGTAATATCTTACTCTGCTTTAGATGAGCCGTCTCAGTTGGTTTGTTCTTTTTAGCTGAACTGGTTGCATTAGTAGTAATTCAAGAAATCTGTGCACACTGAAATGTGAAAATCTCGTCGCACGTACGCTTTATACGCTCCTTAATGTGTATATGAATTTCTCAAACTAGTGCAACCAGTTGAGCTAAAAAGAACAGACCAAGTGTCACACGATGGAATCTCGTGCCGCACACTGCGAGTGCTTTTTTTATTTGGCGCGCCGTAATCCAAAAGTTAGTGACGTCAGAAGCGAGGAAAAGCATGTAAAAATTCTTGCGTTGCACGTTCAAGAAAAATATAACTACAAAATAACATATATGATCGATCCAGCACACTAATAAAATTGTCTGACTTTTCTTTTACTTGAACAATCAATAAATAGTCGTAAAATCAACACTGACGAAATCATGAGAAAAGAAGTTAGAAAGGAAGGTTCACAATCACAAATGTCATTTTGCGGGTATATCTCTTGAACGTATAACGCAAGAATTCTCGGTATGCGTTTTCTCTCAAGACATCTAAAATAAAACGTCTATAGGATGCTTTCTCGATATGTCTTTGCGTGTTGTGTGGAAAGTCCGTAAAGGTGAACGGAAAAAAATTAGTCTTATATAAGTCAACGGTAGATATTCTCAAATGTAAGCAAGAATATTACAATCTTAGAAGATTTTTAGCCTTGATTTGATTGAATTTGTATTGATGCAAGTGATACTTCCACTCAATTCAAGACTAAAAATCTTCTAAGAAGATTCTAATATATTTGCTTCTATATCTATCATTGAGATTAAGACTATTTTTTCTTCTATATGGGTATAAACTAAACGAACGAATGTATATTCGTGTTTAAACGCGCACGAACCTCCTTTGGTAAACCACCTTATGACCCAGATAGCACAATGTTCAAAATCGTGACATGACACGATTTTATGTCTCGATTTTGAACGTTGTACTGTCTGGGTGAGCAAATCGACCCGAAACGTTTTATTCGTTATGGCATATATACATTTTCCAAATTGTTACAACAAAAGTTTACATTCGTTGTTCGTTCACTCAGTGTATACCCAGTTTGAGATTCGACCGTAAGGTTCCGGTATACTAGGTCGTAATATAAGATCGTAAGCGAAATGAAGATCATTCATATTCGTTTACGATCTTACGTTACAGCCCACCGGAACGAGTTCTTACGAGTGCGTCTTACGAATTTACAGCTATATTCTTACGCACATTGTTGAATGACCTTTCGCTTGTCGACTTCAGCTCGGCGCTGAAATCGCACTCTACGTCACTTTACTTTGACCGATCAATTTCCAACGGGTAATTCGATCGGGACGAATTACCTTTCATCAGATGTCGTAACGAGTCAGGCCGTTGCCGATGTAGAATAATTGCGAAAGAGAGAGAGAGAGAGAGAGAGGATGGTCAGTTCCGAGCGCGTCGTTACGATAGCGCTCAGCATTATTCTCAGCTCAGTCATTAGTCTCAACTTAATGTCTCGACATCGTCCGAAGGTATTTAATTAGCGATAACGATAATCTAATGAGAAATATCAGATATCGCGGTTTTAGCTAACCAGTGAGATATCGCGATTTGAGTCTGAGATAAACGAGCTGGTGGAAATGTCGATTTTAGCGCCTCACGAGGCGCTGCTCGCCTCGATTGCACACCGTTAGTCCCGTCGTCACGTGTCGTCGGCGCTCGGGCCAGGTAATTGCCGCGTTAAATCCACCGAATGGTTCAAACACCGAGCTATTTCGTCACGGAACGCGTCAAAACGCTTGAGAAAGCGGTCGAAAGTCGGTCGAATCGTTCTGTCGACGTACATCGACCCGGGTCAATGCCATGGGTGGAGAGAGAAAGCCCTCGGACGGATGAGATCTCGTACGAGATCGATTCGTCTTCGTGCCGACGGGAGCGAATCGTCACGACAATGACGACGATGACGCTTCTCTCCTGGCACCGCTTACACCGGCGGTATGTGAAAACGCGCGCCTCCGAAGAAGTGGGTTGATTCTGTGCGCAATTTGCCAATCATATCGCAGCCGGCGCGAGTTGTGTAAAAGTTCACGTCTCGCATAGCCGTGTGTAGGAGTGACACGCGAGCTCGTATTTTATATAAGATAAATGCACCATTAACCGGTTAAGGAACGTTGATCTATATATATATATATATATCAGATATCAGTATGTTGAACCTTGAATTTTTAATCTGTCATTAGGTACAACAGTTGTCATATACTTAGAAATTAAGCCACTCTGAATGAAAAAGCCCTGTACCATTTAACCATTTTGCAAATAATACAAATTTTTGAATTATTAATCGAAGACGCCTCTACAGATGGCCATTTTCAATAATTAATAACTCGAGATTTTGCGCGTTCTTTACAAAATGATACAGAATCTTTTTGTTCACCTTAATATGTTCTGTGCCCTCATGAAGTTTGTTTCCGTGACTCTGAGATACTTTGCATAAAGTAAATTTATAAAATAAAACAAGTATTTTTCTATTCAAAATTTACTTTTGAAGTTACTTGTAATTATTTTACCATCGCTTTTTTCTTTTTGCCCGAGCGAATTTACTTCTACCGTTTTACGTAACTAAAGGGATTTCTCTCTCATTAAATTATTATTATTGTTATTATTATGGGTATATTCCAAAATATGCGGATAACGCTGAAAAACTGTAATTTACATCACGTAGATTATAAATTTTTAGTACCGTCAGTATTTTTTTTAAACACACTCATTCATTGTGCGCTATTTGTAATATATTATAGAATTATATCGAGTCAAAAGATGAATAATTGCGAACTTTACAATACGTGCAGCAGATTGACCCGAATCTCGAAGAAGCGTCACGTCTCCGAGAGTCGCGTCTCTCTCGAGCTCCTCGCACTCTCGCGAGAAGGTCGGCATAGAATTAAGATTGCATAACAGGTGGCATATCCGCGTAGATAACCGTCGTTACACCGTTCATTTCTCCCATCTCCTGTCACTTTCTCGGCAAAATGACACTGGCATAATACATCTAGCGTTATTGGGTATCGGACGCCGCAAGGTGATGCGCATCGTGTGTGTGTGTATGCGGATTAATGATTCGCACACCGACGAGTCGAGTAAAACGTCGCATTACCTCGCGTTACGTCGCGTCGCTGACATTTAAATTAGGTCTCGACTTCCTCGTAAAATCTTAAAGGAGTGATTAGCGGAACGTCGAACCTTCTTTGAAAGGTAAACAAGTACTTTCAAGATTGCTTCGTCCGAATAAAATTCATCTACGGTTTGCTATCGCACTTGACTTTGATCGTGACTTTATTAACGGGTTAACGTCGCGTGTTTTTTCTTGATGTCAAAACGAACAAACGAAACATCGGGTCAAATCAGCTCTCGCCTAAAAGTAGAAGCGAACGTTTATCGTCGAACGAGAACACGCGACGAAAGTATGCAGACGAAAGTCCGAGTAACTTCTCCGTTTGTATGCCGGAACTCATGTCGTCCCCGACGTTCCGTCGGAGCTCGTACTGAACCCATTTTTATCGACAATAGATACACGGTGATTACTAAGGAGACAAGATAACAGGAATTCGCCGGCTGACACCAGTAGTCTCGGAATTGACGAATATTTTCGTCAGGTTGTGCTTAAGAAAAATGAATACAATAAAGGAGGAAAAATTGTTTGTTGAAATTACAGTCATTTTTCCGCTAATTATCTTTTTGTTGTTTCGGAAACAATGAAATACGCAAAGAAAAATGAGTCTTATATCGAGAATAGATATTCTCATATATGAGCAAGAAAAATAATAAATAAGCAAATTTTCTTGGAAGATTTTTAGTCTTCATTTGATTGAATTTGTACTGATGCAAGTATTATTATATTCAAAGTATATTATTTTCACTCAATTTAAGACTAAAAATTCTCTAAAAATATTATAATATTCTTGCTTATATATAAGAATATCTATCATTAATTTAAAACTATTTTTTTCTGTGTATAAAATTGTCAACAACATAGTAGTATTTTGTTTACTAAAAGGCTCCCTTGACAAAAATTATTTCATCATGTACAATTGTAGTCACGAATATACCGAACATGATTTTCTCAATGTACACAGAAAAAAAGTGTTAGACTTATGTAAATAATTACTTCAATACTTCTTCCTCCTTTCCCTTAGAAAATTTTCACTTGGATCAAGTAATATTTATTTGATCCAAAATATTTCCTTGATTCACAAGTAAAATTTACTTAATCCAAGTAAAACTTTGCTAAAAAATATTTGAGTAATTATTTATTGGAATCTAATATTTTTTTTCCGTGTATGGATATCTCGTGCAGACGTACTCGTGAAATCTGATTACGATATATATCGACTGCTCGACTGGGAAGCCGATAAGATCAGCTGTTCTCGCGTCATTAAGCTCTTCGAAAAGAGAGAATATTCCGGCGAAAACATTACTTCGGCCGCACGTGACTGGGATTTCGTCAAGATTGGCCCTCGGTTCGTTCTGACCCTGACTTTTCGGTCGTTGTAACTTCGCGGGGCGAGATCGATAGATTCGACGAATACGAGAGCTAACACGTGGGGTGCACCAAGGGCGTACCTGTAATAGGTTAGCACCGGGGCGAACGATCGGTCAGAAATGCAACTCCTGCCAAAAGCAGTTCGCCAATCGCTACCTGACTGTTTCGTACAACCTGCCGGACGGATTACGCAAAAATGCTTTAGCGAGTTCCGTACGATTATCTCGGCGACTGAAAAGCTGTTATTAATGAGCGACAATCATACTCGTGGCTCCTCGTCACGAGGAGAAATGGACTTCGAATCCTGAAAGATCCAGGGATCTTCGAAGGAAAGTTCTTCGTCAGTTTTAGAATGCAAGAAATTGTCGAATTCTTCGAAATTCTTCTGAAGTAATGACGGGCACACATGCAGATGGACGGAATAACGGAAGTGCACATAGAAAAATACTGCGTTTAAATAAATGCTACTTGTTTCAAATATTTCAAAAGTTTATATATCCGTACACGGAAAAAAATGAGTCTTATATCAAGATAGATATTCTCAGATATATAAGCAAGAAAATTATAATATTCTCAGAAAATGTTTAATCTTGAATTGAATTTAATCAATATAAATTCAGTCGAATCGAGATTAAAAATCTTCTAAGAAGATTATTATATTCTTGCTTGTACATGAGAATATTTATCCTTAATTTAAGATTAATTTGTTGTTCTGTATAAATGTCATCAATATAAGCATAAATTTATTCAAGATATATTCTGAATCTTAGTTAAATTCGGTACATCAAACAAGAAAATTAAAACAAACTTCGGTCTGCTTATTCAAATTAACCAAACAGAACTTTTCTTCGATGAAGTTTTATAATATTCTCGAAAAGAAAATAAATTCTTCTTTCGAATACATAATGAGCTTTTCCAAAATTTGTGATCAGTATATTTTAAGAGTATTATTAAAGAAAAAAATTCTTTGTTGAATTATTGCTTAAAGGAAGGAAGGTAAAAACTAGGAAGGTTAACTATCGTCTTTCTTAGCAGTAGAATAATCTTTTTCTGCGTGGACATGCAGAGGAAGAGACATTCCCCGTAGGACCTTAACGGAACTTACGTGGGGACTTTCACCCTCGGTAGGGAAGGAAAAAAGCGCGAGCATTATTTACGATTCGCCGGCGACACGCGGAAATTCGCGGCGATCACGCGAAATACCAGCAAGCAGGCAGGCAGGCGCGAAGGACACCCGGTGGACGATAATGCGTTCATCCGGCATCGGTATCGCCGCTCACGATACGCTCCGATGCGCTGGAGACGCGGCCTCGTCTTCCGGGAAACACTCACTAACAATCTGCAGGCCCAACATCAGCGTGAAGCCGACGATGATCGCGACGAGCTGCAACAGGCCGCTCTTTTCGTTCGCCCTCTCCCTGGCCAGCACCTCGAAGAACACCACGTAGAGCAAGGTGCCGGCCGCCATGCCCTGAAGTATCGTCGGCGTGGGGCCCAGATTCTCGCTGTCATTCTTGAAGTGGCCCAACGCGAGGCCCACAGCGATGCCGATCGGCGTCACCATGGAGAAGATCGACAGGTAGCCGAGAGTGGTCCTGGTGGAGGCGCCGGCCACGTACAGCTCCATGCCGACGCAGAAGGAGATGACGAGCTTGTGCGTGGCGATCGCAGCGGCCAGGTATACCACCGAGCTGATGGACGGCTCCAGGCCCACCGCCAGGCCCTCGAATATCGCATGGAAGGACAACGCCAACACAGTCAGCAGTCCTTGCACCGAAGTGTTGTTCTGAGTCAACAATGCGCTGTGCTGGTGATGATGCTTCAAGCGCGGGTAGCTCAGCTCGGGAACCGCCATCTCCGGGTCGGAATGCTTCTCGACGTCTTGTTGGCCCACGCTCGGTGGCGACAATACGAAAATAGCCGGTAGGACCTTATCGTCCTTGGCAGTTTGGCCTGCAAGGTCGTCGGGTTGCAGCCTGTTGGATCGCTCCACCGTGTCCGCACGGTCCTCGTTTTCCTCGGGGTCGTCGGTGTCCTTCCAAGTGGACCTGGTGGTCGTGGACATGGTGGTGATCGAGCCGCTCGTCACCGTCGACGGGCCCGTCTGATTGTTGTTGCATCTGCGCACCGACACGGTCCTGTAGAGCAACGCCTCGGACGACTCGGGCTTGCCGGTTAGAGCGGCGTGCACCGCCTCTTCGACCAGGTACACGAGGAAGAAGCCGCTGCAGAAGAGCAACTCGGCTAAGCTCAGGGTACCCAGGGTCGGCAACTGGCCGTTGGACTGATGCCTCTCCACACTGGCGCGCACTTCCGGCGCCAGGTGCAGGAACGTCGTGTACAGGAGCACACCGCCGCCGAAGCAGAGCAACAGCGACTTCAGCAGGCCCTGGGGACGATCACACGATGCTTTGGGGGATCGTCGGATCTGCCTTCGAGCACGGGGTGCGTTCGGGTGCGTGAAACTTCCTCTCCGATCGCTTCGGAATTCATTTCGTTTGTTTTCCTGGTGAGGACTTTTGATAAGATACCACAGGCATAAATATTTTCAGTTGCATAAATATATTCGTTTCTTCTTAATCGTCACATCACAAGTATAAATATCTCGATTGAGCTCAAGTATCTTAAGTTCAAATCATCGATGGAAGACAACGATATCTATTCGCTTTCCTGAAAACTCTTCTTCTCCGAAAACTTTCTGAAAATTGTCTCCTTGGCTGTCTACAATTTGGAAAATTATCAGCACTTCTCCCCAGGAAAAGTCTGTTCCGAGTCGATCGGACGATCCGTAGACACAGATTGGAAGACGTCCACCCGAGAGCACCCTGCACGCCGATGGACGGCTATTCCGGATGCGTTACGAGTAATATGTGATCGAGGGAATCATGGGAACAAAAATCGCCAGCGCGGCTTATCATGATCAAGTATTGTTGATCTGTCTCGGCTTTGTGCCATATCAATCGCTGCGTGTCGACATCGACCGAAACTGAAGCAACACGCGTCAACTTCTTCGGGTTATTTCTCACCCCGAAGAAGTGAGTTGAAATGCTCACGAAAAAGTTGAAAAGAAGTCTGCGAAGAACGTGGTGCTAACTCGAAAATCAAACCCGAGTTGAAATCTCAGTTCTACGTTAAATCTATTTAGTTCTACGTTAAGTCTTCAAAGGTCTTGTACTCTTTTTGATGTTACAAATGGGAAGATATTTCCCTTTGCTCTACTTGAAGACTTAATGTAGGACTAATGTCTCGACTGGAGAATTGAGTGGCTGAATCGAAATTTTCAATCCTACATTAAATCTTGAAGTGGAGAAGACGGAAATAAGTTCCCATTTCCGTTTCAACAATAAGTGCTCCTTTGATGCTACAAAGGGAATTTAATACTCCGGAGCCTAAATTTTCATTCTACATTAAGTCTTCAGTGGAGAAAATGGCTAATAACTTTCCTATTTATAGCATCAAAGGAGCACAATAGGAGACCTTTGAACACTTAATGTAGGACTAAAATAGACTTATAATAGAACTAAAATTTCGGGTATTTACCGGAAAACCCGTAAAAGCTTGTGAGATATCACACTTCCAAAAGACCCCTTAGAGACGTATGGAAGATATCAAAAGAATAGGACATCTTTTGGACGTTTTAAAGACATCTTTTAGAAATTCGTTCTACCTGAGCAGATACTCAAGAATTCGAAGTAGCGGCGTGAAATTCGCGGGAAAACGACTCGATACACACCGAGAAACTCATTTAGCTGAATCAACAAAATTCTGCTATATACAAACAAATGTTTCGGTTACAAGAACCAAGATTTGGTTTTCTGAGCCAAAGTTTGTTTCTCCGAATTGAAGATGCAGTTCTCCGGACCATTTTAATTCTTACAACCGAAATATTTGCCCGTGTCCGAATGAGAATTTTGTTGACTCAGCTGAATGGGTTTCTCAATGCAAATATTGGCAAAGAAGAAAGGAGATCGGCGATTCTCCAGGCGAATTTAACACGACGATGTTGACTCGACGACGCTCCTCAACGACGCGGCGATTTGGTTGGCCCAGAGCCGAGCCCTCCGGAGACAGCGGAACCGACGTGCACCGAGGACCTCTCTTTCTCACACGTACTTGCGAGTCCGCCGTGGAGGCCGAGTCGACGCTCGACGAGGACGCGTTGGAGGCCGAAGTGGAAGTCGACGTGCTGGAGTGATTGGAGACCGCACGGCGGCGTTTCTTCAACTGCTTCGTCCTGTAGAGGCCCACCATCAGCGGCAAAGCTCCCAACGCCAAGGAACCGAAGCCGAGACCGATCATCGCGCCGATCTTCGATACCAGCAGGACGCTGGACGTTGTTGAGTCCTCCATTTCGCGCAGTCTATTCAAGATATCGCTCACGATCAAGCACGGATACCTCGTGGGTCTCTTTCTCTCTCTCTCTCTCTTGATTATTTCTCAATCTCACACGACACCGTTTCCGTCAAGCTGGTCGCTCTCATCAGGTGGACGCACGATACTTCCAGGTGGTTCTCGTCGTATCCGTCGCGTTGTTTCGTCACTCGGTCGCTTTCTCTCGCGCACTCCCGTCGACGATCGGATTGTTCATCCCGTAATCACGTGCTTGTCCGCCGGGCGGTGTTAGGTCAAAAGGTCGAGTCGGGGGACGATCATATCCACCTTGCCTGCGCCGGACGAACTCTCGGCGGCGTCTCCCGGCCGGTCCCGTCGAACGACAGCGAAAAGCGAGGAGCAGCACGCGCCGCGACGACTGATCGGACACTCCGGTCTGGATGGGAACTCGGCTCGGTCGGACCCCTCGCCTCGTCTTACATAGTCCAAGCCGAACCGTTTCCTGCCCACTCCCGGTCGCTACGGTCATCCTTCTCCAGCGACCACCCGGCAGCGTGCAAACTCTCTCTGGCTCGCTCGCACCGCGACTGATCGTCCCTCACTCAGTGGCGTAACTAACGACCTCGCGAACCGTCCTTTCGGTGGAGGGAAGGAAGCAGCTCCTCCCCCTCTGCCCGTTTTATCGGGCTTGGCGCGAAAAGATCGAGGGAAAAAAGGGAGAAAGGAGGAAAAGAGGCGAGAGAAGAAACGCGAGGGAGGAGAGAGGAAAGGGGTAAGGAGCAGATCAACAAGGTTGTTGTCGAAACCCCGTGAATTTGTCGTTTCCCGAAGGAAAGTCGAGAATCCCTCGGAGGATAGGCCCTCAGGTTCCTCTCGCTCCCTCCCGCTCTTCGCAGAGTAAGGTACTTTCGACGCTAATCACATCACTGCCTCCACTTTGCCACCCGACGAAGAGCTATTCGCGGCCGTTTTCCTCTCTCTCGTACGTGTGCACGTGCACGCGCGAACGAGAGAGGTCGTCGATAACGTGGAAAGTTCGTGTGGGGGCACGCGTGCAGGCACCGGCTCTTTCATGTTTGCTAACAATGTCACGGGTGACATTTGCGTGCGTGTCCGACCACACGAGAAACGAATCGTCGAACGAATTGTGTTGAACGGTGTATGTTTTTGAAAAAAAAAAAAGGAAATGAACGGGCAAGAAGAGATCCGAATGCTTCAAGTTTTAATTTCGAAGATCGAGTCGAGAGGATAGAGATTCGACTTTCTCGAAACGAACTTCTCTCAAATTGTGTTTTCGAACGTGAACATCGGCCTCCGATTAGAATGCTCGTGCGCACGGTAAGGAAATTTCGGTGACGAGAAGATTCGGTGACGAGAAATGAAAACTCGATGACGAGATAGGATATCTCTGTTACCATGACTGATGACACATTCATGCATGGAAAAAATAATTCTGTGGTGTAATTGAATTTTCCGTTGCCCGGGGACCAGACGAAAATTCGGTGGTAGGAAGAGGAAGATTTCTATAGGAGGTTTCTACACAGAAAAGAAATGATCTTAAATCAAGAATAGATATTCTCACGTATAAGAAAAAAGATTATATTGTTCTTGGAAAATTTCTTGAATTGGATTCAGATAATCCTCGCATCAATACAAATTCAATCAAATCAAGACTGAAAATCTTCTAACAGGATTACAATATTCTTGCTTATACATGAGAATATCTATTCTTGACTTAAAACTAATCTTTTCTTCTATGTGCTCAGCCAATTATTTTCAGTTGTCTCAGCCGAGTTTTAATGCAGCTGGATGTTCACACGAGTATTCTCAGCCGCGGTAATCCCTATTCTGTTGCAGGAACTGAGTTCTTTTTTCCCGTGTGTGAACATTCAGCTGCGTTAAAACTCGATTAAGACAACTGGGAACAATTGACTGAATAGAGATCTCTTCTAGAGGAATCTTTCCGCTCGTATAACCGAATTTTCATCCAGTCCCCAAACAACAGAAAATTCAGTTACGCTGATGGAGTTATCTTTTCCACGCACGAGATGACGATGGTTTCGCAGAAGCATCGATTTTGCGTGCACAAAAAAAAAGTGCCAAATCCAAGTAAATAATTACTTCGATACTCTTCAACAAACTTTTACTCGCACTGAGAAACCCTTTTTATATGGATATGGGCAAACAATTGTTTTGGTTATAAAAACCAAGGTTTGGTTCTCCGATCGAGGAAAGTTAATTCGCAGAAATAAACGATAGGTTGAGACACGGCCGAGAAGATGTGGAGGCAAAGGCGGCACCTGCGTTCGCCGCCTTTCCACGACGGAATTTCTCAATGTGGGCCATTCGCGCCTGCCGAATGATCATTTCAACCGGAATCTATCGCGCTTTCACCCTTTTCGCGCGAAAAGCGAAAGGATATCGCGCCTCGGGCGAGCGCTATCGAGCGCGACACGGAGCCGCAAAAGCCGTAAAGCTCAAAGAGCCGTGAACACCTCGTAAAATCGACGATCGCCAGTCACGAACGTGCCTCCTCCAACGTCGTCAATTATACACCGATAATAAAATAATCGATCCGCGTCATTCACTCTCACGGCGCATTTTTTGTGCCTCCTCCTCCTTCACGATCGCTAATAATAAATAGTGCGAAGGCATGAAGGATATCCGAGGCCGAAGAAAAACTCACTAGCGAAGAATGACTCACGAGTGCGCAGCGGGCGTAATCAGTTTTTCGCTCCTTTTTTGATTATCGCCGGAGAATTATTCGCGAACGTGTATCCGGCGGGAAAATTCTCCCGCCGCGGAATCGTGCCGCGTGATTCATCGGCAGGATGTCCTTTTGCTTTTCGCGCTGCATTCTCTTTTCTCTCTATCTCTCTCTTTCTTTCCCTCATCCCCACCCGTTCTCTCCCACCTGTGCGAGTAGCAGGGCCTCGCTCACCGTGTCAAACGGTGACCTCGACGAGCCGTCGCTTTTTCTCCACCTTCGAACTACAAACGCACATGTCGAGCGCCCCGACAAGCGACTGCCCGTAACGATTCATCGCTCGTTGACGTGACAATCGATGCGCGTTCGTTCGTTCGTTCCGATGAACTTTCGGCCGCAAATGCGAGTCAAACAACATCGGAGAAATAAATTTCGCTCCGATGAGGAACGAGCCAAAAATCGGATTTGCGTGAACCAAATGCGGTTGCAACAGTGTAATCCACGTTATTCGATTATACCAAAGAGTGTTAAGTGTTAATAATAATGGTGTCAGTGTAATGAAATGAAGTAAATTGCGCTCGCACAGGTCAGGTCGAAATTTGCTCAGGCAACATCGTTCTCAACATATTTCGAAACTATTCGATGCGCCACATTGTTTCCTCGACGTCTGAATTTACGTGGGAAGAAAAGTTCGCTTGAATTTACGTGGCGATGAACAAATCGTTTTGGTTGGGAGAAACAGAATTTCCGGTTCTTATAAACCGAATTCGATTGTTGCAGCCAGAAATTCTATTTTCCTTCAGCTAAGACGACCTTCTGCCAAGTATCTTGTTTGGCTCGTTCATTATCGGGTGTATTCAACCAAGCTCTTCTTTCAGTGCGGCAAAGTTAAAAAGTGTTTGGAAACGTTTCGTGTCTGCATGTGCTTACGATCTCTTCTGTTTCAAGGAGAAAGAACTGTCGGCGCTTGTTAATCGAGGAGAATATGCATCGTGTTCAAGTTAGAAAGCCGCGCATTAAGTGCGCTTTGAGCCGTCATTAAGCATGCGACGGTCGATAATCACGCGTTATCACGCGCTCGACGTTACTCCCGATTTAACAACAAATTCTTTTATCGCGATTCGGCTTTCCTAGCTGTGACGCTCGCATTTCAAGCCGAGACGCGGCCCGAGTCGCGCCGACCAATAAGCTAAGCGTAGGCAAAACGCAACGAGACGCAGCGGACTCAGCAAGATGTAGAAATTTTAGCTATTTAAATCCGCTTTCAACCGCTCGACACGAGAAGAGCGCATTTGTCTCGACGGGAGAAAAAGAAAGGGAGAGCACGGCGATCGGATAATTATTTCCAGCGCGACGCACCGTTCTCTCGATTTCTACGCGACCATTATTACCGGAGAATGTGAAACTGTACTGCGTGCGTTAATATGAAATTAAATCGATTGCACTTACTCAGCATCTGTATGCCGAACATCAGGATGAAACCGATGAAGATTGAGAGGTACTGCTGCAATCCGCTCCGATGCTCATGCAGGACCTCGAAGAACACCACGTAGAGAAGGGTGCCCGATGCCAGTCCCTACGATTAAAAGAACGACGTGATTCTTTTCTGACATCCTGACGAAGTGAACTGATACGTCCACGAAACGTTGGAAACAGATCCGCAAAAAGAAAGTAGCAAACCTAGAATTTCTCCGTATCGCAAAAGCCTCAAAAGTATCCCCAGATAGAATATATAATGACGATGACGTCAACATGACGTGAGAAAGATGATAAAATAATTGAAAAGTGAATTTTTTTCTACCTATACTTGAGAGAAATAGATTTTTATCAAATTTTCTCCAAATATATTCTTTTGATATGCCAAATGATTCCTTTATTCGTATAAGATACATTGTCACTCGATTAGTTTATCTAGATTAAACTTGAACGATTTCTAAACGAGATATTTTTTCCACACTGGTAATTAATCGTACATTACGGCGCATCGAGGATTATATCTATTCCGCGTGTTTCCCAACGCAATCGCGATTCCTAAATTACGAAACTTGCCTGTAATATCACCGCCATTGGTCCACTAGCGGCGGCGCTTCCGCCGCCGACCAGGAGCATTCCGATGCCGATTCCTATCGGCGATACCACTGCGAACGTGAACACGTAAATTATGGACAGATACCGCCTGGTCCTCGAAGCGATCAGTTCTACTCCGATGCAGAAGGCTATAACGAATTTATGGGCCGCCACCGCCCCGAACATGTACCTGCAAGCGTGCACGGACAAATTGTACCGTTTATCAATCGAAGCCGTTGTTTGCGCCACGAAGGTGCTTGATTCATTCTAAAGTACAGCGTGGATGCAAACCAGCGTGCGATTAAAGAGCGTTGCGCAAACCCACCGAAATCGGTCTTGTCGTGCACGAAGAGATACGGTGCAATAACATAATTATTTGGCTTCGCGCACGCTCGGGAGAAAACTGATTGAGCAACAGACAGAAAGAATAACAGTGTTGCAGAAAGATTAAAGCGGTGTCTGCAACGAGAATTGAAGGCGTTTAAGACTTAAGCTTTAAGTCTCAAGCCGTAAAAAGTCGCAATCATCAATTATTTATTCTTTTTATCAATTATTATTATTCTTTTCACATTCAACCGATCGGTCAATTTTTTATGGCTTCATGATTAAAGCTTAAACCTTAAACTCTCGTTGTAGACGCTTTACAGAGGGATAAAATAACAGATTCGACGATCGTGCGCTGCCGCACCTGTATCGCGCTTCTGCGTCGTTTCCAAACATGATGATCGCGTATCAAGATACCACACGTGCGAGGTACATACCAGACGTAACT